TACTACAAAGTCGCCAGTTCTCAGCTTCCAGCTCCACAGATTGCTCCCCGTACTAAAGTTGTACTACAAAGTCGCCAGTTCTCATCCTCCAGCTCCCCAGATACTCCGCGTACTAGAGTTGTACTACAAAGTCGTCAGTTCTCATCTTCCAGCTCCCCAGATACTCCGCGTACTAGGAAGTCACCAGTTCTCATCTTCCAGCTCCCCAATCGCACTCTCGTCTGCATTTCGCACACTCGACACGCACGATCTCCGCAGAGGGTTGCGCCGGACCGGGTCAAATCGCACTCTCGCCTGCATTTCGCGCACTCGACACGCACGATCTCCGCAAAGGGTTGCCCGCGGCAGAGACAAATCGCACTCTCGCCTGAGTTTCGCGCACTCGACACGCACGATCTCCGCAGAGGGTTGCGTTCGTGGCGGTCCGGCGGCGCTGCCCCCGGCCTTAAGAGAGAAAGTTAAGAAGAGCGAGAGAGGAGGATGTGAGATGTAGATATGAGGATGTGAAGATGAGCAGAGATGTAGACGTGCAGATGTGAAGATGAGCAGAGATGTAGATGTGTGATGAGCTGAGATGTAGATGTGAGGATGTGCAGATGTGAAGATGAGCAGAGATAGAGGTGACAACGTGATTGTACACAGGTGAAGATGTGAAAATGTAGAGGAGGTGTAGTTCTGCAGATGTTTTTTTACGAAGAACCCTTCGCAGACGCTCTCGGGAAAAACGTAAGCGGACCCAAACGTGCAGAGGGAAGAGCAATATTCCATTAACGGGCGGGGGATCAACAAAAAAACATAAATGCATCAAACATTAAACATATTTCAGTGTGATCAAGAAAAAACAAAAATAAACGGACCCAAACGTGCAGAGGGAAGAACAATAATCCATTCGAAGCAGCGATCAAAAGAATAAAAAAACACAAACAGTAAAATCACATGAAATGAACATGAAAATGAAAGAAAGAAGGAAGAAAGGATAGATGAGTCAATGAACAAATGAGATGAATGAAATGAAAACGCTCAACAATTAAAAGCGGGAGGGGGCGCGGGGGAGGGTGCAGCGCCTCCCCCGCAATGTAACTTGGCACGACCAAAAAACAAATATCATGGAGTTTCCCCAATGAATCGAGCTTTGATATCTGGAATGGTCTCTGTGCTGGGCATCTGGGCAAAGCTTGGCAACATCGCATTGCAATTTCACAGCCTTCCTTCCTTCCTTCCTTCCTTCCCGCTATAGCCCTTCCTTCCTTCCTTCCTTGCTTCGTTTCTACGTACCTGCCTACCTGCCTTCCTTCCTTCCGCCCGCTAGCCCTTCCTTCCTTCCTTCCTTCCTTCCTTGCTTCCTCTTCCTTTCTTGCCTCGTTCCTTCCTTCCTTCCTTTGCTTGTTTCTTTCTATGTTTTTGATGCATTTTTATTTATTTTTGATGCATTTTTGTCTATTTCTTGATGCATTTTAGTTCTATTTTGATGCGTCTCCCGGAAGAAAGGAAGGAAGGAAGGAAGGGCTAGCGGGAGGAAGGAAGGAAGGAAGGTAGGTAGGCAGGTAGGTAGAAACGAAGCAAGCAAGCAAGCAAGCAAGCAAGCAAGCAAGCAAGCAATCAAGCAAGGAAGGAAGGAAGGGCTAGCGGCTAGCGGGATGGAAGGAAGGAAGGAAGGAAGGAAGGAAGGAAGGAAGGAAGGAAGGAAGGCGGTGAAATTGAAATGCGATGTTGCAAAGCTTTGCCCAGATGCCCAGCACAGAGACCATTCCAGTTATCAAAGTTCGATTCATTGGGGAAACTCCATGATATTTGTTTTTTGGTCGTGCCAAGTTACATTGCGGGGGAGGCGCTGCACCCTCCCCCGCGCCCCCTCCCGCTTTTAATTGTTGAGCGTTTTCATTTCATTCATCTCATTTGTTCATTGACTCATTTATCCTTTCTTCCTTCTTTCTTTCATTTTCATGTTCATTTCATGTGATTTTACTGTTTGTGTTTTTTATTCTTTTGATCGCTGCTTCGAATGGATTATTGTTCTCCCCTCTGCACGTTTGGGTCCGTTTATTTTTGTTTTTTCTTGATCACACTGAAATATGTATTTTTTGATGCATTTATGTTTTTTTTGTTGATCCCCCGCCCGTTAATGGAATATCGCTCTTCCCTCTGCACGTTTGGGTCCGTTTGTGTTTTTTTGATTTTTTTTTGATTCGTTTTTTTGTTGATCCCTCGCCCCATGGTCACTGCCGACTCCTACAACTCACATTTCTCATTATGCTATCAAATGCTGTTTGCTATTGGTATATCCTAAAGCCTGTGGATGTTCAATGGTGTTCCCCCTGAATCTTCTGAAACCCAAACTTTGGCAAATTCGCCCCCCAGGCATGTCGGGTTCTCTTTTTCATCCCAATGAAGAAGCAAACCCTATCTCTTTCGACAGATCTCTCCGGCGGCCTCGGTCCAGTCGCAGAAGAAGTGGCTGAAGCAGGTGTCCCTGCCTGAGACAGCGTGGGCGTTAAGTGGCCATGACGTCGTGGTGAAGAAACTGGTGAACATACAGAATGGCCACGCAGTGTCCTTCTAACATGCACCTACCATGATTTTGGGGAGGTGAAAACGGTGAAAGCGGGATGGTCCATAGATTCCAAATACTATACACAAACTTCACCTTCTGCACCCTCTCTCGAGGGTGCCCACCGTGTCGCTCGTCATCCTTCCAGCCACCAACGTGAAGCTTTCGGAGTTTCTTTGCCTGCAAAGCGACAACATGATGGATCTCCAGGTCCCACGGTGATCTTCGGTGATCTTCATACCCTATGTTTTTTACTTATAAGTCCTGTTACGGTACGTATACTTATATGTAACATAAGTATACGTATGCAACTTATGGACCCTACCAAATAAGTAGCACAAGTGCGACGGTAAGTAGCACATGGTGTGTTTTTGAAGGTTTTGATTCTTTCTGTTCGCATGTAAATTTCAACCAGATACAGCCGCATAAAAAATGAAATATCTATATATATATATATGTTTGTTCGTTCGTTTGCAGTAGCTGCAGGCTGAATGAACTGCCATGGCTGGACTTGGCCGCGGAAGTCTGTCTGGGGCCGTCAATATATATAGAGATCTCTGCGGCGGTGTCGGAGACAAAACAAAAACGCGCGGCGCTGCCCAAACCACCAAAAAAACCAAGAAAAACAATATTTCCCGCCCCGGTTTTCCCACAAATTTCCCACAAAATTTTTCATGATTTTTCAATCTTCCGCAATTTCCCTTATTAAAGGTAATTGGCAGGGTCTTTCCCACATTCTACCTCTCAAAAGTTTTCCCACAAATTCCCACAATTCCGGGCACTCTGTTTTCTTGCGCCCAGTAAGTGCTCTATAGTGGCCCAATGAGCCCGATAGAGGCTTCCAGCTTATACACCTCAGAGACCAGCACACCCACAGCATCCAAGGCGTACAGGATGTCGGTCGCCAGCTGTCGGTCGCCAGCTACCGCGCGCGCGGCTCCATGCCCCCACAAATATGCTCCCCCAGTCTATATTTGCTTGAGCCCAACTGCCAGGACAACCCTCAAAACCTCTGTTCCCATAAGTAGGATAAGTAGAAAATAAGTAGAACATGCTTTTTTTCGTCATACTTACGTTCTACTTATAAGTATGCAATTTTTTTAACATAACTAGCGAAACCATATAAATAAGTACGATAAGTTCCAAGCGGTTTTTTGTACAACTTACGGCGCTTATGATGGTTATTACTAAGATATAAGTCTAGTTGTCCCATTCATAACTAAGTTATAAGTATAAAAAACAAATGGTATGCATGAAAAATCATGCGTGAAAAGAGTCGTAATATATGGCCAACCACCAAATGATTCAATTCTCAGTCTTGAAGTTGATGGGATGCGAAGAAAAAATAAGGGAATCGCTGTATCACTTGTTGCTGGCCACGCTGTATCACTTGTATTTCATTCCAGAGATCCACGGCACTTTTCATCAATTGTGCTCGCTTTTGACAACCGCGTCTGCCCGATCCACCGTGCATGTGTTACTGGCCTCGTTGGGAAAGGCCAGCATCACGGGCGGGGTGGTCTGTCGAACCGGCCTTGGAGCGAATCGGATGGCCGTGGGAAAATCTATGAACATCTCGTATGAAAAAGCGAGAGCAAAGTAGACAGAACAGATCCAAGTAGGTGAAAAACGGTGAAAATACACATGGCATGTTGAAGCTGCTGAAGCTGCTGCTTCTGCTGCGTGTTGAGATCGAACCTCTAGGTGTGTGGCGTGGCTCGCTCGGGGTTCGAGCTGGCCTGTGGGGAGACTTGCACACAAGCAAGCTGCCTGGGCTGCGCCCGTCCGACGAATGTTGCATCACAAAAACCAAGGCATCTTACTTGGATTTACTTAAGAATCCGCCAAGAGTGCGACAATGTTCCTTCCTTCACTTGCACTTGGTGAGATGTCTCTGTCAACAACAATGACTATTTACACATCTTAAAGCCTTAAGATTACACAAGCGTCTGAGTTTAGCGCCCCAACGACATCGTTCACTCCTGGCGCTCAATGTTGCAGGTGGCCACAGTCAAAACGTGAAGGGCTCTATTTGAGGAGGCTTCTGTTGTCTCAACAACCGAACGCGGTGCTGGCATTGAAGAACGTTGAACATGTGTCCGCACAAACAAGCCAACTAGCCTCAAGTGTCCTCTCACGCGTCTGGCCAATCCCCCTTCCACAGGTCAAGGCCGCAGCTCCTCCTCCTCCTCCTCCCCACAACCAAAGGAGGTGAGGCCGCAGAAGATCGTGTCCACGCAGCTCTGCACCTCAAATGAACCAATTATTAAACTTCTCTGTTCTTGCTGGGTACTTTCAACATGCAGGGAAGTCTTTTAAGCCAATACCAGTGTGGGTAAAGGATGCCCACCATCGAAGTCTGCGGATGTCAACTGAGGCCTCTGCCATCTTGCGCCCCCTCTTCTTCCTCGCTGCCCGTCGTTCAGCAGCTTGCTGGCGTCGGATTGCAACAAGGTCAGACATCTGGGTTAACGCATGTCTGGCGAGTGTCTGGGTTCTCTTCTCATGAGATCAGCCCTAGACCCTAAGCAGCTGCAATGAACAAGACCTGTCAATCAGATTTTGGTCACACCTTGTTGAATACTAAGATAAACTGCTCTATTTCTTCAAGGGCCCTACAAAATTGTCTGAGGGCAGCGTGCTGCGATTGGTCTAGACTGCAGTTAGTTGCAACAAGTGATCGCGCACGATAGCACTTAGATCGTAAGTGTGTGGATCAAACAAAGGAAGCCAGTGGTGAACAAACGCAGTCTTGGGCCAGCTTGGACCTTCTCTGACGCAACACTTGTCGCTTCTTCGAGGAAAAACGGGCAAGTGAATCTGAGTAACGGATCTCAAGGACCGTTGGTAAGCTTTCCAAACCCCCAAAACCTGAACATATCTCGCCTTCTCAGCAAGGATGACCATGGACTGGATCTGTGCCACTGCTATTACTTTGGCACGGGCTGCGACCCTGTTGGCAAGGGAAGGAAGATGATGTCAATCCACCAAAGGAGCGATGTTTTCTCACTCGAGCCAATGGTTCCTCTCTTCGACGCAGCTCTCTTTTTGGACTGCTCGGAGCTGGTGACGCAAACTGCGCTTTGATCTTTGATCTTGGCCTTGACGGAGATGTCGGTGCCTGCAATGGATCGTTTTTCTCAATGTTGTTTTCCACCTTCCTCAGGCGGTATAGATAGAAATAGTTTGCTTGCTCTAGCTGGTGTCGACAGGGAGTTTCAGAATGATGTGGAGTGGAGGGACAAACTATGTCATGAAGGACATGAACCATGCAGCAGCACCACCAAGCGCAGCAATCCAACATGTTCCGGCCTTTCAAACCAAATGAAAACTACAATGCATATAGAAAACATGATATCATGCAGTGAGTGCAGTTTCTCCAAAGATGGACGGACATAGAGGCAGAACTGCCGAGAACAAAATTCAATGATTGTCATCCACCAGGACAAACAGTGAGTCCAATGTTTGCACAGGTTCAATCAGCCTAAAACCTAGAAAACCCAAAGGCTCGACAGTTGTCTCCATGAGGTTTGGGCTTCAAGAAAAAGCGTCATGGTCTTTCTAAGTACAGTATATCGTGATTCCTTGACTGACCCGAGAACTAAAATCAGCAGCAGAAAAACATAAGAATAAGAAGCTGAACAGAAGCCCCTGCCAGGCCATCCCCTGAGGAGAGGAATGATGATCTTCCCTTCAATAGCTTTGAAGATGTCCCAAAATTGTCAAAATCAACACCGCCCGTATCCGCCCATGGCCTAGAACGGATTCAAGAAGGCGCATACAGCGCCGACAGAGCCGAGACTTTCCAGAAAAGATCACAGGGCACATTTCGGCCGTTGAGTCGGTTTAGTAGTTGTGATTTGCTTACGAAAACGCTCAGAACAAGACAAGTGGAGGTTGCTGGACCGTCGAAAGTTTAAAACAGTTTGTTTGTAACATCCCTCGGCACTCGGCACACTAGCAGTGTGCACCAGAAATCCCAAGCGTTCAAAATTTCATGTACTATTGCTGGCCTAGGATGTTTTAAGAATAGAGCAATTCCATCAGAACAACACAAGACCGAGAAGAAGCGTTCCTGCCTCGCATCTGTCCAAATTGACCTCAACGCATGGAGACTCTTGAACTTGTTTCCATGGGAGGGCACGGGCAAACTTGCAACTTCCCCGAAAGAAAAACGCCTTGCCTGGCTGCAGCAGCAGCAATGTATGCTTGATTCCTGCCAGAAAAATAATGGATCTAAGACAGAAAATTATACTATAGTTCAAAACAGGTGTAACGACGCGTTTCCACACATCCACCACGTGAAGGTACGGGCGGGTAGTATGGTTGGACGCAGTACGTGTACGTGGTACAGGAACAAAGTATGCGTGGTAGGGGTGTGCTGAGGGCGCGCTGGACGCGTGGCGCAGATGATACAAAGTGGTACAGGAGGCACGGGTACATGGTACATGTACTTCATTCGGGTCGCATGCGGTATGCCCTGGGTTTTAAACACTTTGTTCTTCAGTGTGCGCACATTGTCCGCACAGCAAGGTGTTCAACACATGAGGCTGCAGAACATAACCCACCAAATTAAAATGGGTGACCTGCACACGCTCTTCGAGAAAGAGTCCGCCAGGCTTCACACATTCCTGGTAACTTGGATTTGCTTTCTTGCGTTGTCATGTCTTGGTTGCAGCTTTGCTTTGTTATCGTGTTTAAACTGCTTAAAGTAAACAGACCATTAATAAAAGCATACACATGCAGTGCGCTTGAACAGTGGGCAATGTACTTGGATCGCTGCAAGATATACCTGTACCATGTACCCTTACCATGTACCACTCCCTACAGAGGGGTCCTTAGGGGTTCCTTATTTTGGTACAAGGGGTTGGTAGGAGGGCGTGGTACATGGTACTGGGTACACGGTATAGGTACATGGTTCAGGTGCATCGTACAGATAGAATATACGGGTCAAACATTATACTCCAAAGATGTCCAGAATGCTTTGTTACCCAAGCGCAAGCAATGCATGGCGTTCACATCAACAAAAAAATTGCAAAGCATGTGAAACTTAGCGAGCACTGTCGGATGAGAGCTGGTCTCTTTGGAGAACCTTGCATCGTGCAAATATGCTTCTTGACCAAGTTTCTCAACCTTGAGGAAAACAGGGTGTATGCAGGCTGTTGCCGACGCCGACAAGACGATACACGCTACACAATGTCACATAGGTCTGTGCAAACATGTGGAATCCTGATATAAATTAATATCGTTTCTTTTGATTCCTTCATCCAACAAGGTATATCGAGAGACCACACTTGCATCAAGCGTATTACACACATGTCGTACCATATCGCCGTACCTGTAACAAGCATCGCACCCCGACGTCGTACCGGACCTCGCACCTACATTCTGATATGCAAATTCAATCAAATTCACACCTATCTTGAACCGCTATAAACAGAAAATCTATGTTGGCTCATGGTGGCCGGCCTCGATCACCACACCCAAATGCAAGCGTGGCAGGGATAAACCGCCTCGGGAACATTGATGCGCTCTCGGAGGAGTGGACCCAAAGCCTGTGGCTTCCAAAAATCTACAATCTATCTATTGGATGCTGCATCATCTTTATTATCTATCACTCGCCATCCTGGAGCCAATAATGAGTACAGTAAGTATGGTATGGATACTTAACATGACTGTTTTCATCTGTTTTCCAAATTTTTGTTGAGTATGTCTATCTTGTATCTCCTCCAGAGCCTCCAGAGCCTGCAGGACCGGCAAAAACAAATAACATGCGCTCTATCCACCGAATCCACTAGACGGGGACCGTGGTGGTTTGAGTCCACAGCTGCGTCCATGTCGAAGTGATGCTGCTGCTCCTGTGCGACATTTCAGAGTAGCTGGCACTAAACTCACGAGTTTAGACGGATTCAACTAATCGTCGAGGCACGCTGTCTAATTACTGGGATCAACCAACGTAGGACATTTATATGTACATAATGTTTAATTTACTATAGAACATTTTATATATACTTGTCAACCTGAGGATGTTCTCCCCTGACCACGTGCCGCGCCTGCGGGCTATTGAGGGCAATGTCTTCCAGGTCCTGACTCACCAAGGCGATCCCAGCGATGTTTTTTCGGTCAATCTCTTCATCTGAGGCATACACACCCTAGGCCTCCAGGTACCTCCTGAGAAGGTGGGACTGGGGTGGGTGCCAGGAGGGTACAAATACCTTCTGAGGAGATACTTGGAGGTGTAGGGACAGATTTGAAAATGATACAAAAGGAGCTCCCCTCATAGAATGACACAACTTTGATCAAAAAGTGGTATCGCATGATAGACACTATCATTATGTCAAACGGACATACAAAAATTCAGAAATACCACACATAAAGATGTGATCGGACCATTTAGCTGTCGCTCACATGTTTGACATGGTTCAAAGGTTTGCTGATTGGGCTGTGATGTGCAAGGGTCAGACCGAGAAGTAGGGGGACGATGAAGGGATCAGCATCTGTTTGTTCCCTCTGACCCAGGTGCGAAGCCTGGGCCGCCAGACTGCCTGAGAGCCCTCTGCTCCAGCCTTTCTAGACACCTACAGCAGGGAAGATCCGATGAGATGTCTTCTGCAGTCTGATGATTGAGCAGCTGACTCAGAAAAGTGATGGAAATGGTTTCCCCCCATGTACTAAATTGTCTCCCTGTGCGTTCATCTAAACTACCAAGACTCCCTGAACCCAACTGGCTTCATCCAACCTTTTTCACTCAGGGGTCTGGTCAGGGAGGCCACCTGGCTCACTTGCGACATAGCCAACATGTCTTCCTTCATCTGGGATCCCCCACGGAAATGCGGTTCCTCTCAGCGTAGATGATCCGCAGCTTCAGAGCCTCTTCGTTGTTTCGAACGAACGATGGGATCGCCACCCAAAGCCGCAACAAACTGCAGTTGGACATCGGAAACCCACAAATGGCTGTGCTTCATGGCACCAGGAGACCGTGAAGGAAGACCAATTTGGAAGACCAATTTGGGTCGTTCGCTGCACGGTGGACCAGGGCTGATCCATCCACAACGCGTCACGACGCGTCACGACGCCTCGTCCTCGCTGTAATCGGTCAGTGGTTTCTTCAAAGCGGCAATTGGTGCCAAGGCATCCACGCACCTTGTTGGAGCGATGGAGAATTGATTTGTTGGAAAGGCTGCGTCCCCAAAAAGATTCAGAAATGAAGGTGTCAAACGGTGCTGCCCCATGTTGTTCTATAATAGGTCCAATTTCGAAAGGTTTTGGGGCTTACTTACCTACTCATGAAAAAACGAGCACCATTTAAGATCCATGACTCAACGAACTCGGATCCCTAGCGCTCCGATGTCCACGAAGAGGCCGAGAGGTGTCAACTTGCTGACCTGTCCAAGAGCACACTCTCAAAGTCAGAGGCTTTCACTAAGTCTGATGATTCAATCTTCTCAGAAAAGAAAAACAAACTCCAATTCTCATGGGGTCCTATGGGGTCCTGCCGAGTCTGCGCAGATTCTACATGGAGAATCTACCATATGTTTTTTAATGGGACAACTAGACTTATATCTTAGTAATAACCATGATAAGTGCCGTAAGTTGTACAAAAAACCGCTTGGAACTTATCGTACTTATTTATATGGTTTCGCTAGTTATGTTAAAAAAAATTGCATACTTATAAGTAGAACGTAAGTATGACGAAAAAAAAGCATGTTCTACTTATTTTCTACTTATCCTACTTATGGGAACAGAGGTTTTGAGGGTTGTCCTGGCAGTTGGGCTCAAGCAAATATAGACTGGGGGAGCATATTTGTGGGGGCATGGAGCCGCGCGCGCGATAGCTGGCGACCGACAGCTGGCGACCGACATCCTGTACGCCTTGGATGCTGTGGGTGTGCTGGTCTCTGAGGTGTATAAGCTGGAAGCCTCTATCGGGCTCATTGGGCCACTATAGAGCACTGACTGGGCGCAAGAAAACGGAGTGCCCAGAATTGTGGGAATTTGTGGGAAATTGTAGGAAAACTTTTGAGAGGTAGAATGTGGGAAAGACCCTGCCTATTACCTTTAATAAGGGAAATTGTGGGAAGATTGAAAGATTATGAAAATTTGTGTGGGAAATTTGTGGGAAAACCGGGACGGAAATATTGTTTTTCTTGTTTTTTGGTGATTTGGGCAGCGCCGCGCGTTTTTGTTTTGTCTCCGACACCGCCGCAGAGATCTCTATATGTATAGACGGCCCCAGACAGACTTCCGCGGCCAAGTCCAGCCATGGCAGTTCAGGCAGCCTGCAGCTACTGCAAACGAACAAACAAATATATATATATAGATAGTTCTTTTTTTATGCAGCTGTATCTGGTTGAAATTTACATGCGGACAGAAAGAATCAAAACCTTCAAAAACACACCATGTGCTACTTACCGTCGCACTTGTGCTACTTATTTGGTAAGGTCAATAAGTTGCATAAGTATACTTATGTTACATATAAGTATAAGTACCGTAACAGGACTTACGTATAAGTAAACAAAAACATATGGTAACTCCAGCTCAAGGGAGCGCACGTCGCAGCGGAGAGCGAACGAGCACCGTGCATCGTGACTGCCGCGCCTTGCCCGTGACCTCGTCGCCCTCGGTGAACGCCATGTCACTGAAGTCACCCACCTGGCCGGGCACAGTCGCCACGGCACTCCAAGGAGTTCCAAAGATGGGTGTTACTTGCCTCCAAAGATGGGCAGGTTTCGAAAGATTCACCGCTCTGGAAGTCCTGATGCATCCTGAGGCAATCCTTTAGTCCTGCCCTCAAAAGTCTTCAACTATTTTGGCAAAGTGTGGAAGCTCATGAGGAATGCGAATGGACTGCTGGAGGAAGATGGTTTCATTCTTCGTCCAGGGTCCAGGACAATTTTTGGTTCTTTTGGTGTTCAACATTTCTGTGTTCCCAGACGCTCATGGGCCCTCGTATGGAGGGGTCGGACCCTCATATGGAGGGGTCTGGGGGCTCAATTCCCTAGGGTTTTGAGGGACCAGTCGGGCTGTGAACGGAGCGTCTGGGTTGAACCGTTATTCCTCATATAAAGGATATCGTGTGTGTAGGGTGCGTGGCCCAAGGGAGGAGGATGGATGGGAACCCACCGGCGGTACGACCTGCGTCGTAACATCGGCCCTTAAGGTCGCACGGTTCGGAGGCGATTCCTGGGAGTCACCGGCCGTCGAAAAAGTGGTTAGGTTGGACCATTCAAGGGCAACATCTTCGGAACGTGGTCTCATGTTGGGGGGGATAACGTGGCCCAAGTTGGTGCCCATTAGCTCTTGACCAGAGTCCACCACCTCCAACACCAGAGCAGTCTGGGCCCCACCTGAAGCTCCGCACTGAAACCTTGAGAGTCAATGAAGTGCTCTGAGGGCATCTTCGGATCTGTACCGCCGTTCACAGGTGTGTCGAGAAGGATGAAGAAATGGCACTTCACTTCACAATTCCCAATGGTGGTGGAGAGGTGTGGTAATTGGATATGGTGATATACTCTTGATAGCTTAGTGATCATCAGAATTGCAGTGCTTTCCGAGGGTGCTGAGACACGTGCAATGGCAAGCTAGAGTGGTCGTGTACAACTATACTCGGAAAACTGGTCCCGGAACAAAAACATCCGATTTGCTCAACTTGAGTCAATCCTAGGTTTGCCGCTGTCTGGCGCCATGGGACCCAGTGTGGAAGGTTTTCTTTGTGGGAATCCTTATGCCAAGACCATTCTAATGCCAAGAAAAGAGTCGATTCACCTTTGCAGGGTTCCCTTGAGTAAAAGACCACTCATTGGATCGATGAAGGGATGGTCGACGGGTGGGGGGCCAAAAGCTATAGTTGCAGTAGGTTGACCAATTCCTTTTTTAGAAGGCCACAGCTGCTTCGGCCGATGGCCATCTTGTCTTCATGGAATTCTGAGACCCTTGCCCTCCACAGAAGGGCGCCAACGACGGAGACCGGTGACGATCTCCTCATCGATCTAAATGGCTCCTCATCTCGATGATTTGGCCATCCAGCCACACACGCTTAGCAAAAACACATTCAGCATCGCGGAACCTTGATTTGAATTCGTGGAATCAACCGTCGGTGGTCTTGGCCACCTTCACATTGGTGGTCTTGGCCACCTTGATTTGTACTTTCTGGTCGCACCCTCGTGGCATGACTTGCCTTCTTTTCCGATCAGCTCCTCGGTGGCGTTTTGGGAGCGGAGAAATAAATACACGTTCATGGCCCGGCCGGGCAGAGCCCCCGGCTCTGCAACTGTGTGGGTGAATTGATCATGTGATCTCCAGAAGGTTTGTAAAGGACAGACATGACTGGCAACCTACAGTCTACTGCACCACTCGTCACTTGCCCACCCTAGCAACTCTAGCCCCAAACTGCCACCCCTCCAAGTTCAGTTTGGTGTGACTGATTTCACCCAGCCTGAACTGGGAGTTTAGTTCTGAGATGTTTGTGGCCATCCATTGCGTCTCGGCGATGAACATGGAGTTGACCTCCGATTTGGGACGGAAGGGACCTCTCAGTGACCATCTGTCTCTGCGCCCAAAAGGTGACATGTTAGTAACTTGGAAGTTGCTCTTCAGAAAAACCGTTGGCACCAAAAAAAAGATCGACCGTTGGCACCAGAAGTGGATCATCCATGAGCTGCAGCTCAAGTCAGCTGACCTATCCAGGAAAAAGCATCCGTCAATCCATCGCGAATCTTAGTTGTTTAGGAATGGATTCGGAACCAGCGCTGTTGCAAGTGACCCCCCAAAAAGGACGAGCATGCTTATGAAAATTTCAACGAACAGCTCTCACTGTTACCCATTATCTGTAAATTGTAAGGCGGCTGATCATTCTTCATTCTTGGGGTGTGGGGTTACACTGCTGCCATCCCAAAACTGAAGTGAGTATATAGAGCTGATGATGAGAATAGATCTTGAGAATAGATGATTCAATGTGTTGTTCATGTCCCAAAACAATGTTCAAGATCTCCATGCTAAAGAAAGTTCAGTTACCAGGGGTCCATGTCAGGGTGGTGTTTGGTCCCATCCAGGGGCTGTGGAGTAGCTGGGCACCCCGACTACCTCCATGGATAGCACAGGTCCGCAGCTCCTCGCCAAGGCGGTCGCACCAACACCTCAGGGAGCCCGGCGAACCCGTTCGTGGCACCCTGGTCCGGGGCGGGTCGAGACATGTGAGGCAGCTGGAGAATGCGAAATGGCTTCGTCGGACGCTGTGCTGGAAATCCTGTCCTCAACACCGGGTTTTGTTGGGGGGGGGTAACCCTTGGGACCCTTGGTCAAGCTTTAAAAACCAATTGGTTGAACAACACCACTTCCAAAGGTGTACGTTCCAAGAGCGAAAGGAACCAAGTGGTCTTTGCTGAACAGCACCTTCGACCTGAACATCTCCCAAGTCTCTGGCCGTGAACGGTGAACGGAACCGACGAAATACGAGAAGCGGCGGCAAAGAGAGACACATCCAGTCGAAGAAGTGACAAAACATCCGAAAACACCCGTTTTTTCCGTCAATTTCAGAGGCAGGCTGAGAAGAAGTCAGTCCTGACAACTGATGTCCAAGTGTTCGCATGTTGAAATCACACATGTCGGCTAATGAGCTCGGAGTGGTGTTCCAAGAGGTACACATGCGGCTGTGGATCTCGCAGAATCGCGCGCATGCGCTCCGACCGGGCGAAGTCTATGGGCCGCAAACCCCGGTGGTTGCGGAGCTCCGGATCCGCGCGCGCCGCGAGGAGGAGCGTCAGGAGGCCCTCGTTGTCAAAGATGACCGACCAACCCACAGGAGTGGTGCTGTTGTTGGTGACAAATCTCAGCAGAGCGTTAGGCTCACCCCTACAACAGCGGTTGTAGGCCCTGAGAATCAGCTCAACACTCCTGGAAATGCCCTCAGGCTGGCAGACTTGATTCATGTCTGCCCTGCTCTGCAGCAACAGTTGTGCTGACAACAAATTGTTGTTGGAGTCACCCGAAAATGCCAGGGGATGCAACGGTGACGCACTTGCAAGTCCTCCTCGTCCGCCCAGCACGTCCGCTTTGAGCTCCACCATCCGTGCAAGCACTTGGCACGGAGCCCCAAAGGAGGCGGCGACGTGGAGAGGACAGTATTGCGTGAGATGCTTTCCTTAGAATTGGCTGCTTTGGATACCGGCAAAAACGTCCAAAATCCCATCGAAAACCTCCTCTCCCCCTTTGCCAGTGGGATGGCACAGCACACCCAGGAACCGCAAAAATACTAAATCCACCCGAAAATACTGCACTCTTCGCCAGGTTTCCCTGATCATTAATCCCAGCACCATGACGCACGAGGAGCTCCAGCGCCTCCACTGTGCTACACAGACCCAGCGGTGGGAGCGCCGTGAGGCTGGAGCTGCTGGGGTCCGCCCGCAACTTCAAGAGGGTTTCCAACATGCGCAGGTCGTGGCTCCTGAACCAAACAGCCAAATGCAAGGGTGAATAACCTGAGGCATTCAGCGTCTGCGGCAACGCTGGTGCAGAGGTCTGGAGCGAGGCTTTGGCAACAGCAAGAGTGTGAACCAGCACATGATCTCCTGAAAGAGCAGCGCAGGCGATGGGACCAAGGCCTTTGTGTCGGTGCAAATGATTGGAGAAGGAAAAATCCGAAAGGAACTCCTCCAAGCTCCGCTGCTTCCTGGCAAGACCAGTCATCTCTTCAAAGAGTGAACGGTACAAGCGGTAGGCCGTCTTGTTCTTGACCTGGCTCAGCTCACCCAAGTGCTCCGTCAGAGCGGTCTGAATCACAGTGCTACACGAGGCGCGGTCCTTCTCCACGGCAAAGTCACCCAGGTGCACGGGGTAGCGGTGCCACAGAGGTGCTGCGAACTGTGCCACGTCTTGACTCTTGACCACCACTATTGGGATCTTCGATCTGGCCGACAGGGAATAGGACCAGAGCTCTGTGCGACACCAACCTCGTTCGAGCCAACTGTGAAAGTTGCATTGGGAGAGTGTCTCGGAGTGCGTGGCATCAGGAACTAAAGCCAAGAAGATGTTGCAACAGTCCACATAGCTGGGAATGCTGCGAACATGAAGTAGTTGTTCTTCTGGCACTCCAGGCTCATGTCCATCCACTAATTGAGGCACTGAAAAGTAGTCCAGCCACACATGCGCTTTAGCCGTCCGACGGAGCTCTCCTTTGGTGGGTCTGCGCCCGTAGTATTGCGAGACAATGTCGCTTTCGATCTTCAGCTTCCTCGAGATGATGTTCTTCAAAACACCCTGAAGCACCAGCAATTGCTCTCCCATTGGATCGGGGTGCTGGCGACCCAGCCATTGATGCGAGACGAAGATCACAAACATCTCTGGACTCCACTGGCTAAGAAGACCTTTAGCCTTCAAAGATTGGTGTGGTGGCAATCGCCCAGTCATCTCAAGAACATGCCCAACTCTCACAACCCACATGGGTGCGTGCTGTTGATGCCCTGATTGAAACGCATCGTCGGCAGAGGCAGAGGAACAAAATCCCATGGCGATAGCTGCGGAGCGCTATGGAGCTCACAGAGTGCTGCTTCTAGCTACTTCTCTACCACATCTAGCTGTATAGATGGCATTACATGTTGGAACCGGTATATGCCCGAAAATACCCGAATTAGTTTACATATGGCCCAAGATCCTGGATGTGCTGTGGAAGATTTGTTGGATCCATCTCCCTCTGAAGCGCGCTCAACTCACTCCATTAACTTGTCCGTGCTTGATTGCGGGAAAGTGTCATCATCTGCGGTACTTCAAAACCTGCACCAAAAAGCTACTCAACCTAAGCAGTTGCAAGCTTCTTGCCGAAAAAGCACCTGAACACCTCTTGAGGGCCAATCCCTTCCCATCTAGACATCTCCAGTCCAGTCTCCGCATCCTCCGGCAGCTCAGGAGGCCGAGCCACGTGGAGGAGTGCACGGACCGCACTCCACGTGCGTCCTGCGGTCCAGCGGCAGCGAGCTTCTGGACGGATGGGATCAAGGCTGAAGCTTTGTAAGAACCTGGTAGACCTTTTGAGGGGCTGGGGAGAGATATTGATCCTAAACCATCATGGTCCATTTCCAAAGGTACCAACTGGCCTTACAGACCTGAAGGACCGTATACTGCTCCGTGGCCTTCCGCGGCTTGTTTGAAGGCTGCCCTTTCCGGATGAGGGTGCCCACTTGGCTGTTCAAACGCCGGTCCGTGCTCGAGACCATAAGGCTCAACCCTTAGGGTGCCCAAAATGCTTGCACAACCCCTATAGGGTGCCCAAAGCCCGCAAGGAGAGCCGGGATGACGCAAGATCAACAAGAGCCTTCGCTTATTTCGGATGCCAAAGCAATTAGCCAAGTGCTGGGTGACGTCCCTGCCAGCACAGAGGCCCGTGACGACTACAAGAAACACGTGACAGGATTGGAGCCAAAGCCTCACAATGGCCATGATTTTCCAAAACTGACCCCTGCAGAATACATGTTTTTCATGGTCTGGAGGTCACTCTAGTCCATTGCACACCCATGGTCCAGTTTGCCCAGAATAATGTAGCATGTCCTGACGATGACCTTTGTCTTCTCTCTCATCTCAATCCATGTGATCTACACCTTAGCGGCAAAAGTCAATCGAAGTGAATTCTAGCGGGCCTAGTGTTGGGGAGGAACTCGCTATGAATCATTGTACCTCGTTGTTATTGCTTGCAATCAGCACATTTGTCGGTAGCATGTGTCATGGAAGTTCTTCTAGCTAATATCTATTGTGAATGTCCGCCCACTAAATCTTCACACTTTCGACCGAAAAGCCTAGATATGAGGAGCATGATGAATGCCATTTCTGCTCGGCTACACCAAGGCCATGAGGCCACGGCATATCTCGATGTGCGGCCATGGGGAGGTGGAGCGCACGGCCGCCATGGTGTGGCGCCAGGGAGGAGGTGGGCCGTTGCTTCTACTTTTCAAGCTGTGTGTGGCCAGTGGAGACTCCAATCGACAGCCAATGTGGCAGTGTGGCATCTTTCTCTCCAAACATCAAACGTGAGTCGAACATCTGCTGAAGGTCCAGGTTGAAAGGGCCGGACAAGTGGTATGCCGTGCACATGCTGGGGTCCTCACTCGTCCATGAGGGCATCCTTTTTCCGAAAACGCGAAGGACGGAAAAAGGATATTCAACGTATCCGCGCCACACTAAGTGTACCCTAGAAACCTTCTCTGGGAATGAGCTAGCTCATCTGTAATGCGGCAGTAATGCACATCCAAATTGATCCTATTGAAAAGTATCATGCGAGTGTGGCAGATGCAAAGCTGCCTCTGCCTACAACTGCTGCACTTCCAACTCCAAAAGTGCTGGATTCTGCTGCAGCGCTGCGGCATGGCGGTATGTATGGGAAAGGCGTGCACTCCAGCTGCTCTGCAACAAACAGCTGGGCCAATAACAGACGTCCCTGACACGGTCAACTGATTTGATATTCGGTGCTATCTAGAGAGTCTGGCTGCACATATTCATATAATATGCATACTGCAGACTATACTGTACGTGGAATAGCAAGCCTTGATCTTTTGCACGAGAAGATAGGATCAATATAGCCGCCAGGTCAAAAGGTGACAAATGAGCCTTCTACTGGACGTGACTTGCTCCTTCTCCCTGTTCAGGGCTGCGGCTACACGTTAGTGCAGCCTCAGATGAGTCTAAAACCTTCATCAATCTATTAAACTTCAACAGAATGGGCGCCTGGAACATCTAATGTCCACTTCACCCGCAGCACAGGGTACTCCCAAACAGGGTGTCCACTTTCACAAATGGTGCTGATACACATTGAAATTCACCTGCCTATGACCCACCAGGCAATTTGGTGGCTTTTTCGTGTTCCTCGGAGTCTGACGGTTTGGGTGAAACGGACGCCAAATCAGCTGGTTTTAGCTGTGGCGATCTTTTTGTTGGGATGAAGATGTGGCAAAGGGGTAGCTCAAATGGCTTGGTCAAAGCAAGTTGAACCCAATTCTCCATTTGAAGGGCCAGCCGGCCCACAGGATGAACCCTGCTGGGTGCATGAAAGGCAAAAAGAATCAAGCTTGAGCTTTTTCTGGGATCGAATCGGTTTGGCCAGGCCATGGCAACAATTCCAGTTTCTTTTTTGCTGAGTAGTATATAGGCACCGAAGTCACTTTGAGCCATCCCCACAACAAGTGTTTAATTCTCTTGCAGCTCATCACTCCTGAGCCAACGGAAGAGCTCAGCGTAGAAGGAAAGAAAAGCTGTGTCCAAGTCGGATTGGCATGTGGATCCAATCACTTGACACCCAAGCAGTTATGACAGTTATGAGGTTCTATGGCTCACGCAAGTCCGGAACACCCAAAACGCAAAGAACAAAACAATCCGACTTGAGGCCCCATAGATGGCCCGGCTCTATGCGCGGCTCCCCGTCTTCAGATCCTTCGGCCAATACCACCTTTATCCACCTGAGGTCTTATTGGGGGGGGGAAGACCTCTCCTCTCCTGATGTGCGGAGAAAACCCGACCGGAACCGCCTTCCGCAGTGATCGGCTGGGCGATCGGCTGGGCAGGACGGGGGGGGTGAAGCGGATCCGGTCGTGTTCTTCCCCGTGTCGAGAGGGCCCCGAAGAGGCTCCCAAGATCCGTTCTGCATCTCCCCTCCATGTCTGACCGCGGTGCGTCGCAAGTGAACATGGCGGAAAACTCGGAATTCCGCCATGTGGGCGAATGGACTCAAAGGTCGTGTCCCCTCATGTGTCACAAAGATGAGCAGCAGAAGCTGTCAGGACTTCTCACTTGGTGTTTGGGGTCTCCTGGTCTCCTATTCTTATCCTGCACAGAAGGGGACGTCTAAGAAATATGGTCGAAATATGGTACTGGAAAATGCTCGCTTGCCATCACCACGGTGTTGCTCCCTCCCTCCCTCCCTCCCTCCGTCTGAAGAGGGAAGACCGACCTCTTCCGCCCAAGCTGCTCTGCTGCCATGATCTTGACCTCTTCCACTTCTACCGGATCGATGTCACCTGCAGGACGCCAAGGCGAAGGCGAAGAAGGATTGAAGCGAAGCCCAAGCGAAGCGAAGCGCAGGTTGGCCAAAAAAAACACCAAAAAGAACATGAAAAAGCTGGTGACCACAAATCAGAAGATGTCCTGATTGGGCTGGTTAATGCTGGTTGGCTATTGATTTGGCAAATAAAGACGTGTCCACCAATAAAGTACCAAATCAAAGGATGTGCTGCCCAATGGCCCAAGTTCCCGGGGATAAGCCGCACCAAATGCCTTTTTTCGGTTTCAAGGGCAAGCGCTTCATCTAGCCCCAGTTCCAGCCGTGGTGTGTGTGTGTGTGTTCAACTCTCGGTGTGTACCAATAACAAGACCATGGACCAGCAGTCACAAGACGGGGTGCGATCCATGGAGGTAGTCGGGGTGCCCAGCTACTCCACTCACTTGGGGACTAAACACCACCCCGACATGTGACTCCTGGGAGAGGTGTCTTTTTATCCAAATGAGGGGACTTTCGCCAACTCGTTCTCAGGTGATCCAAAACATGTCGCGAGGGACTCAAGCGCCCAATGGGTATGGAGTTGAGCTTCTTCACATACTTCATTGCATATGTCCTGCAGCCCGGTGCATGTCAACAAGATGCATGCAAGAGAACCAAAAGAAATATCCTTGTGTGTGAAACTATCTATCTGCACCCTTGATCCTTGCAAACACTGAATCACTAGAAGAGATATATACAGTGGCCGAAGTAGAAGGCAAAGTCCTCTCAAGTTAGGTTGTTCATATGGACCCTTCAAAAGTTTGTGGACCCTTCATATGATGGAACCATCCCCTATGAACCCAGCACACTGGTGCGCAATTCTTTCAAAATGAACGCAGTTCCATAGTAGGGGCAACCGGCTGTCTCGAACACTACAAAGCACGTTGTAATATTGTTATATACAACTGAAGGTGTTTTTTTCAAAAGAAGTGTCCGCCAAGAATTTGTTGATGCTGATGCTCTGATGCTGCTAATAAAGCTGTTCCTTCAAAACCTGCACTGGAAGATCTTTCCCTACAAAACGCATGACATGGCAAGTAACTGAGGCCCAAACTGAGTTTGCCAGCCCATATCCAGACGAAAAAGCATACCCAAGCACAACCGATGGCACTGCCACAATTTGCGGGTGATCTGGGGGGTCAATGTAGGCTAATATGGCAGTCCCATTAGTCGTGTCTGGGATAGGGTAATTGATCCGAGAATCCGTATGACTTCCATGTAAAAACACACACACCACACCTAAACATACCTAAACCCATCAGTCCCATCTTCGAGTTCACTCCCGGATCCCGATGTCCCCCAAAAAAGCATGCCAAACCATGGAGTGTCTGGGTACAGGACACCCATGGATTTCAGCCTCCAAACTTAGGTTTACCATGGTTTATCATGGTTTACCTAATAATAAGATTGAACCATGGTGTTTACCATGGTTTACCATGCTTTACCTATAGATCTTCCCTGAACGATCCATTCTCGCGCGTCCTGGCATAGAGCCACGGCCGTGGATGCGACTTGAAGCACTTCACGAAGGCCTGTGCGGCGACGAAGGCCAACCTCGGTGCGCCCGCGAAGAGTCCGCGGCGTCGTGCGGAGCGTGGGGCTGATGGAAGAGATGGGAAGAGTCCAGGGCCCCCGTTTGGGCCGTGCCGAATGGACACCAAGGAGCTCTTATTCCCTAGGGCTCCTGGCCCATAGCCTCAGGTAAGGTGGTTAGACCCCAAAAACCCACCCCAAGCACCTTCTCCTCAGGAGGTGGGCCAGGAGCCCTAGGGATTAGACATCCAGGGGGCCGGCCTAGGGTGGTTGTGATGCCAGGCCGCGGGGAGAGTCGGATGGCGTGCCAGGCTGCGGGGAGAGCGATGCGGTCATAAAGGAAAGACGTGTAGTAGAGACGAGTAGAAGCGGGTAGAGTATATATACCGTACATGGATGATCGAAATGATCAAATTCCTTCTTCGGTTTGGGACACGCCATGTCTTGACCGAGTTCACTCTCAAAGAGCTGTCGGGACCCGCGTGATCCCTCACAGTAGGGTGATTCGAGGAGGCGGTCCAAAAGCAGCGCGGTAGGAGTCGAGACCCGCGAGTCCAACAGTTTCAGCATCGTTCTATTCCAACGCAATTCCTGTTTTCTGAGAGATGATTGAGAATTCGTGAGAAGAAAGATTAAGTATTGGTGACCTTGATCAACTCCATTCAAATCCTAAATGCCGCGTTTTGGGTCATCAGCTGGCCCCATCCGCCGATTTCACCGCATCCGCCGTCGGACGCCAAACGGTCGACGATTCGACAGATCCGCTGAAAAGAACGCGACATGTTTTCCTGCCATGTGGTCAGCTGAAGATGGAAACTGGTGGGAAGTGTTCGTCGCATCGCGACATCCCTTCGATTTGGTGATACCTCGCAATGGCTCAAAATCGGGGGCCCTAGAGAAAGAAGGACACGATTTTGAGCGGGCCGCAAAAAAGAGAATCTGGATTTTGAGCCACCACCTACTACATGTAGACTCATCTGCAGTTGCAAGCCAAAAAAACATGAATTATCATGAATTATCTGTCGACCCTTGGAGCGAACATCAAAAAAGTATCTGGCAACTGCCAAATAGCCTGTGCCTAGACGACTCCTTCAAGAGAGTCGGTCTGCATAGACATCTCCGGCGGCGTCTCACATTCTCTGAAGGAAGTGCCAATCCTCAGAGACTACGCAATGGCAAGAGCGAGTTTGTGTAAAACCATGTGTGGATTAAATTAGAATAGGAAAACCCTCAAGCCAGGTGTTTTGTTTCTCTTGTCACTCAAGCCTTTGGCCATGGAATGACTTTGGAAAAGCTCCGTGCTCAATGTCAAGAACTTTGTTCACCTTCCAAAGCTGGTAATGCAAGCCAGCCAGCCTTTCCAGCCAGCCGTACGATCTGATTAAAAGTTGAAAGTTTTGTGCATAGTGGTGGTATGAGGGATGGTCAAAATTAGCTGATACCTCTCCCAACATGGGACTTCGGATGGATTTGGGTAGATCACCACTCAGATTTGTGAGGGCGTCCCCCATATCCGTCTGTCCATGCCATGTCTAGACGGACTACAGCACTTTTGACCATGACCGTTGTTCGCGTTCTCTACCTTTGACCCCCACAAACGCATCACAACTCGAAGCGATTCACATGGAGTTGGGTGGTGTTTAGTGCCATATCCAGAGGGCAGATGCGATGTAACAGGGGCTCACAGACGGCATTCCGCACTTGGACCCTCCAACTGCTGGCGCCTTGGGCTTTCGAAGGGTCAGACCCCACCGGTCCGAGTCCGAGTCGGAAGGTCCCAAAACGTGGACAGCAAGGAGGTCATCCAGGAGATGTTCCCTTTCAACAGGTTGCTGGGTTGAGCTTTCCCCCTCTGTCAGTTCACTGACTGAGCGCTTCACTTCTGCACTTCTCGAACAGCTGCAAGAGCACCTTCCAGGACCTCGCCATGAGAAACCCGTCGTTCTTGAACAGAAGCATTTCTATTGCCGTGCACACAAGAAACAACCTATAGATGAACAAGGAGGTGAGCCACATCCTAGTCATTTTAGAGAGATGTTTTGGATCTCTTGCACCAGATATCGGGAACCAAATAAACATCACCCAGAGGCGACCCGAACGATTTCGGCCCCGAACCAACTGCTACATGTTGGTGAAGGGTCCATTTCACCCTGGCTGGTTTCGGGTGTCACCCTGGCGAACGACAACTCTTATCGATCCACCAGACTCTTTCCCTCGATCCACCAGGCTCTCTTCCAGCACCAGGCTCTGCCTCCACCGCACCCGACTTCCGCCCACAGACCGACCACGGCCGGCGCAGAGCTAGCCGACGCGTTGGACCGGAGCCGCGGCCTCGTTGGGAAAGGCCAGCATCACCGGAGGTAGGACCGTGGTCTGCGGCACCGGCCTCAAAGCGGAACCCGGCACGAAGTGAAGGTCCGCGAGTGGTGGTCAGCACGGCGGTTGGTAGGGGGACCGGAGTTGAGGCGGTCGGTCAGAGGTCGGGAGCCAAGTCAAGAAAACAAGCTCGGATGAAGTCTTCGTGCAAAGTAGATGGAACAGTTGGTGCAAGTTCGGTGAAGAAGGGTTTTTCCATATGCATGCTGAAGCTGCTGAAGTGTTGAGCTCGATTCACTGAGTGCGTGGCGTGGCTTGCTCGGGATTCGAGTTGGCCTGTGTGTAGACTCCCGCCTGCACAGGCAAGCTACAGGTGTACACAAAAATGAGCTGCGCCCCTCCGGCGATTAAGCTTGGTCCAAAGCCAAGATTGCCACCAAGTGTCAAGTGCCTTTCCTTCTTTCATTTGCACTTGATGAGATGTCTCTCCAAACAAATCTCTGACTGCCCTTGCCACCATCCCACTCCATACATGGCCTCTGCACACACACAAAAAAACAATAAAAAAACATACACTTTTTGGCAGGAAGAGGGCGATATCTACAATCGTCTTCAACATCAAAATAACATCGATCAGTCTCATATATTCTTCCCCTTCAACCGTCATCCACCCACGCCGTGAGCTCCGCGCTAGCGCCGCACCTTCGGCAGGTCGCTGGCCCACTCACCAACGAAGACCTTGCCACTCTCGGCGTAGAAGTAGGAGCCACTCCCTTCTCTCAGGTCCTGGCCAAGGCGGCAGGGCGGCGCGCTGTGATTTCTGTTTTGCCTGGTGATGCCTGGTGAAAACAGCTGTTGGACATCAACAAAAGATACTGTACACCCTTAAGCCGCGTGGAGCTGGACGTGTGTCGCGAGCTGCAGAGGATTCGAAATGTTCCCCCCAAAAGGGGGCCCCCAGAGAGGAAAAATTGGACTGAAATAATTACTGTAAGCAGCCGCCAACAAGTTAACTATGACTTTCCAGCACAGGCAATGGGATGTGCCGAAGCAAGTCGGCTGTGTTGTACTCCAAGCTGCAAGCTCTGAAGCTTGAAGCGGAACCGGTAAATCACCGGAGGAAAAGATCTACCCAAACGCAACCCTGGACCCTCCTAAGTAAGCTCATATATCTGGACCCGCAAGTTTTATGATGGTTTTTATGATGGTTTTATGGTTTGCTTCGGGACCGGGCAAGGCGTGTGAACGGAGCGTCTGGGTGAAGTTCGTAGGTCTCGCTACGTCCGACGATATCACGTCTTCGTCTTCGCTCCCTAAAGCACCTAGTTCGGGCTCCGCAAACGCGAACGCAAACCCAGGCGGGCGAGGCATTGTACCAAAAGCCTTCATAGCAATCGCCATTGGCCTCACGAGGTAGCGGGGAGAGCGGAGGCAGCGGACCAGAGCGGGACGTCTTGACGTCGTCGTGAAGAGCAGCATCCGAGGTTCGGGAAGAATGAATAGGCCAGAGTGCCAGGTGCCATATTTTCTACTGGAGCACTTGTTTGTACACCTTGGGCTATGGCCCTCTATGCCTCAACCAACCAAGGGGCGTAGCTCTCCGGCTCTCTATACTGGCCGTGTTCCCAGGGCCATTTTGTCGCACGTACCGCGGCCGTGAGTTCGCGCTGGCGCGGGCCTTGGTGAGAGTGCCTTCGCCGCTGCGTAGGCCGTCGCACCAGCCACCGATGTACAAATCACCTGAGGCTGGCGGCGAATGGCATTGCTCCAACGGTCGGGCGGCGGCTCTCAGAATGTGGTGTGGCGCACGATGTTGGAGCTTTTGTGGGTTTTGACCCGGGTGCTCCGGATCGAATCAGAGTTCCCGATGTCGGAAGAGAAGAGGGTGGCTTCGACACACCCACATCCGTACTGGGAACCAAGTCCCAAACAGAAACAGTTCTGGTTGTTCCAATATGGCAAGAGAGAGAGAGAGAGCGTTTACACAGGAAATGGCTGGGACTGAAAAGTTCCATCCATTTCTTTCTGGTTGGCACTGGGTTTCCAAAGACTGGCTGACTCGATTTCAGGGGGCTCTTGACGAAGTTCCATTCGCTGGATCGATGCCACACACACAGCTTGCTCCAAGTAGCCGTTGCTATACCTGAGCAGCCCCTCGCCGTGCATCTTGCCCTGCGTCCGTGGGGCGTGTCCGCTGGGTCGTCCGAAGGTTCAAACGGTCAGGTGGGGCAAACAGTCCACCAAACAGGGCTCCTACTGCAAGCTGCGGCAGGAGCAACAACTCATCTTGTTTATACATATAATATAATCATATAAATCATAAATACTATCAATTAACGATCAAATGAAGTCATTGCGCTATCCCAAAATTTGATGTTCTCACTGAATCTTCCTTTTAAACACATGGGACACTTTGGCCAATTCCCGCCCGCACCCGCAAAACTTGCAACCCCAGCCGCTCCGTGCGCAAGGCCATTCTTGGAGGAGCCGAAGACCAACCATCCCAACGACCGAGGTGTCGACAAACCACCTCGACCAAACCACGTCCACCGGCCTGGGTCCAATCGCCTTGGAAGAAGTGACCATCACTGAAGAAGCAGGTGCCTCTGCCTGGGGAGACCACATGTGAGATCGACCGGGATCGGCTTATAGAAATGCCCATAGTTACTATATAGCTTCTTTCTTCTAATTAGAATAGCATGGCCTCCAACGCAATAGCAATGGCCTCCAACCTAGTAGCTTCTACAGTCCATGTTCAAGCAACACTTCTCCTATCTTCTCCTTCCAGCTTCCACATCGCACTGGAACAGGCTCAAAAGAAGCTTCCGCGGCCCTGTGAGACCCTCACCGTGTCGCTTGTCATCCTTCCAGCCACCGACGTAAAGCTTCCGGAGCTTCTTCGCCTGCTGAGGACCACAGTGCCGGCGGAGTTCCGGGTGTTTGGTGATACATCAAAGCTCTATAGAGTCATGTAAAACCCAACCACTAGCGACTCAGTTCTCAGCTTCCAAGCATTGGACGCAAAGAGATGCACAGAGAAAATGCCGTGACTGCTGAATCCATGAAGTAAATCGCTGACTCGTGTGTGGCTGGAAGTCGGAATCTCTTCAGCTGTCACTGATGTGGGCATGGAGTCCCCTGCCTTTCCAAAGGGAACCCAAAGGGTGCCCTCGCCATTCCTCGGACGCAGCAGAAGCAGCACCTGACTCCTCTGTGCACAATCCACACGTTCCCCCTTGACCATTAGAAGGGCAACTGCCATTGTTGAATCCCTTTGATCTTTGTGCTCCAAAGTCTGCCTTTGTGTTGTGCCCCCACAAAATCTGGCATGCTTCGAAGCAGCCGTATACGTACCCTCGGCCACCCACTCGCTGATGTGTTGCAACGCTTTCCTACCTATACTAAGACCACCATGGCTGAGCCTCCCTACCGCATGCCGTTGGCCCACTGGCCTTCGTACTTCTGCCCGTTCGGAAACACCTGGCGCCGTTCGGCAGGTCGCACCCGGGGGCAGAACCAAAGGGGGAAAGGTCGGGTCTGGTGTTATTAGGCTTCCAACAACCATTAATTTAATAGGCTTGGCTTGACCCAATCAACTAAGGATTTTACACTACAAAAACCAGGTCAACCATTGGTTTTTAATGGTCTTGGAAGTCTAGGGGTGTCGAAGCATTCGGGTTTGGAGGGACCAGTCGGGCGTCGTGAACGACGGAGGGTTGGTCTGACGGTCGGACCATGGTCCGGTCTAGAAGACTCGGGGGGAACGTCCATCCACGGATTCCGCCCGTGGAGGGCATGGGTCTGCTGGGTCTGCTGGCACGGCCATCCGAATCCTGCGGATGAAGCGAGGTACAAGCGGCGTTCATCGCATGGAAAGCACACCAGCTTGGTGCTTTCAAGTGCACAGAACTCAATTAAAAGACTCATCCAACAGAACAACTGTTGCCTGGAACTTCAGGCAGGCCTGAAATGTGAACAAAGAGAAAACAATATAGAAACACAGCATTATCGTGAGTGCTCCTCGATAAAAGCCTCGCCTTCAATAAATGTGCTTCATTCTTTTGGATGTGATAAATGCCCCAAAAGAATCCAGAACCTTCAGAAGATGACCCTGTTCTTCCTGCACACATCTTTTCTTTCCGGGCCTGAACTCCATATCCGTTCTTCTGATTGCCTCGGATGCAGCAAGAAGGATCAGCATCAGACGCATCAGACATGTGTCCTGGCACTTCAACACAGACTCAAATGTTTGGTGGTTAAGCAAGTAACATCGATGATCTGAACAAATCCCTGTTCCGTCAAGCAACGACACAGCGGGCAGTGGGGCCCACTGCCCAGGCGCGGGCGGCATGGGTGGATGGGTTTGGTCGGGGCAGTGGGCATGGGTGGATGGGTTTTTGGCCTGACTCCATGCGAGATGCGACCGGCCCTGGCCCAAGCTCCGCGCACCCCTGCAGTGGCTACCCCATGTCCGGTTCAGTCGCCACACTCTCGGTCCGCTCGGGGTCCCTCCGCGGTGGTTCGCGGTCCGGTGTGAAGGCGGAACAGCAGGCTGCGTCCGCGCTCATCATCTCCGCCAAGCAGCCGTCCCACTCGCCCTGGTAACTCGCACCTTTCTCCACCTTCCCTGTCCTGGATCCATCCTGCGATGTCGAGACAAGTGAGTCGAGTCGTTGGCAGATGATCCGTGGCAGCCGGAAGAAGGGGACCCCCAAAACGTACGTATGGAAATCGTCATGATCTATATTATCTGCGCCGATGCCGAAAACACTTTTGTTTGATGAACAGATTCTGGATGATTCGTACTGGATTCACTGGATCTTTCACATCTCTGCCCACAACGAAGTGAGATGATAAGAGAATATATGAGAAGAATTGAGAAGATCAATCAGACTCACTATGCGCGGACGCCTCTGCCAGGATCTGCTTCCCTACCTGGCTGCCATCTGCGGAGGGTTTTCTCCAGTTGGAGCGGCAGTGGATCAAAATCAGTGCCTTTGACTCACGAGACCTACGAGACCGGCAAAATTGGATCGAACTGCACCACAAGCACCAGCAATCAGGCAACATGGTGCTGAAAAATCGGGATTGTGAATTCGTAGACGATCGTATGTGAATAAAGATGGGTTCATCTTGGAATACAGGGAGCCCCTGTTGAAAGCCACCAGGTGGCTTGGGAAATGTCGAACAGACCTCCCACAGGCCCGCCCGCCCGCCCACGTGACGTGACGAACTGCTGGGGTGGAAGAAGCCCAAGAAACAAGCCTTTCAAGAAACTCCAGTGCCCCCTCAACTGGGCCCCCAAGCCCAGTAGATGGTCCCTCTTTGGCCGCTCCTCAGAAGGAACCCATCGCTGAGCAAAGCAGTACGTGCAGAACAGAAAACCTGGAGATAGGCGGAGGGATCTAGCAAGATAGTTTCTTGACATGTTTTGCCGTAATTCAACAAGGATCAAATATAGAGGATGATATGCTGTTTCTCCTGTAAACCCGCTTCTATGAACTAAAGAAGTGCCATAAGTGAGTATCCAGCCACTCCAAAGCCAACTGAGGGCTGACATGTACCCGGCTCACATGTCCCAGACCTGCGCCTCTTTCACCCCCATAAAAAACCAACAACGTCATCCATCACTCAATCCATCCCATGTCGCCAACCCATCCTCTTCCATCCATACCACAGTCTTCCCATAAGAGGGCACACCCCACCCCGCCCACCCCACCTGGGCACTGGAGTCTTTGTGTTCTCCTCTGTAACAAGTCCTCCCTCTTCCGCGAGGCACACGAGTGGGCCGGAGTGGGCCTCCGCACTTCATGGCCTTCCGGTCATGATGATGCCACAAAGGTTCCACTCGAGGCCTTGCCAAATGTTCGCGTGGCGGGTGCCCGGCCGGACAGCTGCATGATCATAAATGTGGCTCAATGGGGTGCAGTTTTAATGTGTTTTTTAGATAAATTGTGTAGCAGATGTGCACTCACTGATGCGGCTGGCTCGTTGGCAGCGCAAGTCAAGTGTGAGATGGGAAAGCTCGATGTGACCCTCGAGAAAGCTCCGTTTAGACTAGACTGCTTCTAAAACCACGTCCCGGAGCCTAGTGAAAGGGTGAACAACATCAACAGGAAGAACATGGAAGCACACACACAGCAATGGGGCATCTGCTACTCAGTGTGAGTGCTCATCTCGCTGGGCCCCCCAAACGCTCTGGTCACAATTCGTCGCTCCGTCACGTCCTCGCCCAATTCTCCATGGCCCTGGCCGAGCTCCGCCGCTGACGTCCGACATCCGACGTCCGCCGTGCTTCGATGGAAGAAATCCGAAGCGAATGGACGAGCTCCGGTTCTTGTTGAGTGGAACATGCGAAGCGGTCACAAGGTGAAGAATGGCACTTGAACATGACTCCCGCGTGAATGGAAACAGCCATGTCTTGGATGCTCTTTCTGACACTCCGGTTTCAACTCACACGGAAGCGGATGCATGCCATGAACTCCGGGATTTCAGGAAGCCTATAGTCTGTGTGTCTGCAGGTCTTGACTTTCTTCGGTACAACGTATCCGCTACCACCTCCGCCTCCAAAACGACCCACGCCAAAGCGGCTTCGAAACAAATAAGACCGTGTCTAGCGTAGCGGAGCGGACGGACGGACGCTTCGCGCCTTGAAGGATGGAGACGGAGATGTGCAGGTGGGAGACACCGGTGAAACTGGAGAGCTTGCCATGGATGATAGCACCGCCTTGCTGGCGAGGACCGAGGATGAGGAGGCGGTTTAAGGCGGTTTAAGGCCGAGAGGGCAAGGGCTGGGCCGGGGCAAAGATTAGTGAGATGCTGAATATTCTGGGGTGGGGCGAAGAACCAAACGGATCATCACCTGAAAACCATGGAAGAATAAAACACGCGGTACATGAGCTAGAAAAAAAGATGCGCTACATGCAGTTATATGTGAATGAGCTGCAGCTAGATGGCCAATCTAGGTAAACAAGGAATCTCTTAGATGACCCAAATTCACTGGACCTTGTGGCCTTTGTGACTCTCTAAACCTCCTGCCATGCCGCAAGTGGCAAGTGCTCCAGGCTACTCAAGTCTGCTCAGCTCGAGGCTCGGAAAGGGCCCTCCGGTTCAAGGGCCAAGCTGCAGAAAGGTTGAGCCACGGTGGCCAAGTCGCGGATTTGCACGAAAGTGACGACCCACATGGCATTCTGAAGTTCCGATCCCAAAATTGTTTAAATAGTCCAATACTGTACCTTCTGTCTCATTCTGAATTTGGATCAAACAAAATAATCATGTTGCCCTTCACAAGGATAGTAAACGCTCGAACCTCCTTGTCCTAAAGCTTGCAACCTCCTTCCTGGCTTTTGTTCAACCACAAGACCTCATTGCCATGGATAGCTGGGCTTCTACTGCCATTGCTTGCTGCTCTCAAATACCTGTTTGCAGGATTGAACCCTGTTTGCTCTGAGTGTCGCACTGGCCACTGGTGCTTGCTGTCTGAGATGAGGCGGGCATGTGGGGATTGCAGGACAAAACAGCCATTAGCCTTTACTGACTCCCGAAGCTTTCCACCTGATGTCTGGTGAAACCAATTCCAAAAAGGTGACCTGCCCAGACACGAAGTCTGGACCCTGCGTTGGACCGGGGGCCGGTGTCCCTCATACAGAAGGGGGTCCTAACCTTCTCACCAATCCCTATGGTTTTGAAGCACCAAGGCCTGTGAACGGAGCGTCTGGATGGGTCGGCTCAGCCGAGTTGAGCCGACGTACATCGGCCGGTCGTCCCGTTGGCCGGTCTCGACGAAAGCAGAGCATGGATGCAAGCAAACATCTCGAAGACTCATAATTTACTGTGTTTTTGTGTATTTATAATGGATATGTGATGTCAGATGAAAAAAATACAAAAAATATCCATCAAGATGCAAGCAAACAGCTCTAGTCTACCATGTCGATCCACCTTTTTGGTAAGGTCACCATGCTTCTTCTTCCAGCTGCCACGCAACACCCAAAACATCCCAAAACCGGCTGCAGCTGTTCACGAGCTGCTCACGCCCCGCACGCCCAACGCGGCAGCCGCCTCGAGGTTTCCTCGATGCCACCAGGTGGTCCACAGCACCGGCTCCGACAGCCACGTGCCGCAGGAGTCCAACCTCGACCGGTGCGCGACGTCTCGGTGAACCGGTGAAACGGTATGTGCCGTGGTCTCCGGGTGCGGAGCATGCGGTGATTCTGGGTGATTCTGGGTGTGGTTCGTTGGTTTGGTTTTTGTTGAGGAGGTGAGAGGAGTGCCCCGCCCGGAGTTCCCCCCCCCGGAGTTTTTGGAAAGTGAATGCTTGGAGATTGGGAGCGTTGGGTCTTAAAAGAGATTCCGTTGAGCAAAGGTAGTATAGGACAACATAGGACAACATTCTCTTGATGTTGAAGACTTCCCTCTGCTGACGGCATCTAAGCCTTCACCTAGCACTTCCTGTCCGGGTGCCCTGGAGTAGGAGACTTGTTGACGTAGTCTAGCCAGGACAGTCCAGCCAGGACACCGGATGACCCTGGGACAAAAAAAGTATCTTCCATGTTGCAGCTCCTTCTCCGGATGTTCTTTGCATTTCTTGGCCAAACGAGACTGACTCCTTCGCTTCGAGGACACTAGCGCTCGCTCGACAGTCAGTCAAATTGCGGGCCCAGCAGCTCGTAGAGGTGTCCAGCACGGATATACGAAAAGGCTCCCTCAATGAGCACCCACATGAATTTCCCTGGCAAAGAAGGTTTGCTGTCAATGCGAAATGTTCAAATGTCAGACGTATATCAGATGCTAAGTTGGTATGCTCTTTATACTGATCAGATCTGATCTGCTATGCCGATGAGATCCTACTTGAGATCCTACGAGCCACCCCTTTGGGGTCCAAAAATCGAGTCTGTTAGGTCTCTATGTAAGGTATGGTCAAGATTTCTTGTGTGCGGCTACTGCATTGTCATAGTTGGTGAGTCCCCTATCGTTTCTGTCAAAAGGGTATCTTCCTTTTCTGTGAGTACCCTATCGTCTGGAGCATGCCAGCATAATGACTGCAATGCTCTTACGCAATCCCAGCATATGACTGCAACGCTCTTACGCAATCTTTCAAGATGATCAACTTCTAGAATAAAGGGGTCTGGCAGATATAAACTTAAGGCACATATATGATGATCCAAGCCCTATGCGTTCATTCGTTCATCGGGCTGTTCCCTTTCGAAGACCTTGGCTTCTCGGTGGCTGTCCGAACAGGCGGACGAGGTTTCTCGACTGCACGCCTCCTTCTGCTTCGGTAAAACATACGTCCTGGCCGATGGGTGCCATGGCCGGCTACAGCCCTTTGTGTTTGGGCTGAAGGTGGCCTGATGGATCTGCAGCCCTTTCGTTTGGGCAACATCCTCCAAATCCCCAAAACCAGGGACCAGTGTCAAGTGACTCGGGACCAGGCCGGAAGGTGGCCTTCATAACCAGGCCACGTGGGGCGGCGTATGTCCATGTCGGTGCCCACTCCGATTCCGGTTTGAACATGGTCCTCACTGGCGAAGTGCTTGAATTTCATGGCTTTATGACCTCAGCAGCACGTCACGTCCCGCGTGCCCACGCGGTGTCTGGCTGCTGGCGGCGAAGGCGTGTATGCATGGTCGGTCGGGGGAATCAGGCGAGGCGGACAAATGAGTGGCCTGAGAGGGTAGATCCATTCCCAGGAACCACATCCCAAGTCCCGTTTTGGGGCTCCGGGGGTCGGCGGCATATATGGCAGTCCCATGGAGTATGGGAATCGAATTCCCAGGAACCATAACCCTAGAGCGAAGTCACCTGCTTGAGTCCCGAGAGCAAGCCGGATTAGGGAGGTGCAGACTGGTCGTCAACTGGACCAACAATCTGGGAGTCACCGCCGTTGAAAGGAGTGGAAGTGCTGCGGCAGGATCATTGAATCGTGTCCAGATGGTGGAGTCTCGTTGAATCGTGGAGTCCTGTTCGTCCTCTACCTGTGCTTTGTGGGATGGGTGCAGGATGACGATCCTCCGACGGAGATCGGTCTCTCCGACCGAGTCTCTCGGCTGTTCGGTTCGGATGAATCGGTGGTCATCTCATGCTGACAGGTAGGCAGCTGCCTAGGAAAGAAGTGTTGGTTGTATGTTGTATGTGGTATGTGGGATGATATCAAAACACCTCCAGTTGCCATTTGATCTTCATACTCTTGCGAATCAGTTGGTGCTCGGTTTAAAGCGGTTGGTGCTCGGTGCGATTGCTTAAAGAGCGAACAACGCCCGAACGATGAAAGCAAGTAGCGATGCCCTTTGTTCCTATATAGTTTCTTGTTCCTAGTAGCGATGGCCTCCACCTAGGGCGTCCTTGTTCCTAGTAGCTTCAAAGACATACTAGTATAGCTGAATTGTTGTTACTAGTAGTTTCAAAGCCTTTTCCTACCATCAAAGAGTGGGTCAAGCCTGCTGACCCCACTCAGCTCGCGGCACAATCTGTACATCACGGGCTGCATGTGCTGGTCCAGATATCCAAAGAAGGGATGTCCTGATTTTGCCGAACACGCGGAGCGTGGCGAAAGGAAAAAGGTCCCCCGCACAAAGAAACATCTCTGACATCTTGGGCGACCATGGGAAACTAATCAGGCGCGTTTCCTTGAAAAACCTATCCCATCATATCCCATCCACGTAACCATCTAAACAGAAAATCCAGGGAGTGTATAGCTCTTGCAACTTGTCGCGTATGCACCGCCCACAAGCGGCCGTCTGCCCGCGGTTTTGGCCTTTCATGGGACCACGATGAAGCTCGTAGGCCAAGAGGTTCTGCAGAGGGTGACTGAGGAGCTGCAAGAGCCTGGCGAAAACGGACGGAGCGAGTTTCACCAGGCAAATTTCATCATGAAAACCCCTCCCTCCAACATCCTCATGGTTCCGTGGATGGCACCACCAGCTGTTTGGTATGAGTTCTTCATGAACCCAAGTTGGGCCCATTGTCCCATCCACGTCACCACGTCGCCATGAGGATGTGGGAGGCAGGCGGCCTGTCACCTGTCACCACCGAGGTGGGACCTTGAGTCTTGGTGAGACCGTGGTGGCAGGATGAGCATCAGATCCCAGCGAACAGAACTCAGCGTCATTCTTCTTGTTCTTGGATCGCTTGATGGTGCTTGTGGGGTGTTGCTGTGCATTCAGAACCAAAAAAAAATGCGGACCGCGTTTTGGTTCGCGTTCTCTTTCACGCTCCACAGCTCAAGGCTTTCAGAGCTGTGCACACTGTACAGCCAGCCCCATGCTGTTGGCGCAATCCGTGCAGACTTTCACGGCTTTGCACCGCTTGGTGGGGCGGAAATGGATGGAAATGGTTCTTTCTTCCCCGTGCCACGTAGCTGGTCAGCGCGCGCCACGCAGGATGAATTGGGCATCGAATGAGGAAAACAGGACTTTCGATGAGAGCCCCCCCCAGGGGGTCGGCCTCTGCCTGACATCTCATGAATTTTTGGCTAGTAGGAGTTTGGTGGCTCAGGGTTTTGCGACGGGCTCAAAGTCTCCCAAGAATTCCACCATTTCGCCCTCTTTACAGACTCCAGCTTCAGCCAGTGTCAGATTGGGGTCCTGATTGCTTCTCCATTGTTTCCCACCGAAGCGGAAGAGATATCCATTGTTCGAAAGTGTTGAGGTCGTGAGTTTCTGCATGCCGACCTCCATGCCAAATCTCCAAACACACCTTGGATTTGCTACTCCCACGAAGCCAAGAAAAAATATGCTCCCCAAAACAGAGGGGATTCACCCAGTTCGGCCAAACACACAAACAACCGATGGGCGCCCAGTTCACCAAGACACTTCTCCAAGCAAGTCTTGCCGATGGCCGTTGAACTCTTGCTCCGGTCCAAAAGTGTTACATGGAGCTCGACCAAAGGGCTGGGTGCGACGAATGCGGCAACTGGCTCAAAGTCGCCACCGAATTCGACCGCCTCTCCACCAACGACTCCTGCTTCAGCCAGGGTGAGCTTTGGATGTTGGTTACTTCTCCATTCTTTGCCTCCATGATGGAAGACGAAACCATAGTTGGACAGTGGCCCTGTGGTCAGCTTTCTCATGCCGGCATCCTCTCCGAAGCGCCAAACACATTGATCCAAGGAGGCTTGACGTGTCTCGGTCCAACTCTTAAACCTTGGGTTGGAAGACAAGGAGACCTCGAGACAAGGGCATCGCTACTATAAGCAAGAAGCTACTAGGAGCCAAGGGCATCGCTACTAGGAGCGATCGGAAGCTACGAACGGAGCTTTTTCAGGGCAAGACACTCCCCTACTAGGACACCCCAGCCGTATATGGGGATGTGTTGTTGTTGTGTCGGTGGTGAAACCGTTGGCACCCTTGGCCACCGTTTTGAGCTCTCTGGAGTTCCAAGGAACTCAGGCGAAATTCCCGTAGAGCTCCTGGCCCATATCCTCAGGTTTGGTGGTTAGACCCCCCTGGCAACCACCCCAACCATCTTCGAAACGGAGGTGGTTGGAGCTCTAGGGTTCAATCGATTCCAACTTGAGATGTTCCTTCTCTTCTCCCCAACCCCACACAAACGAAACGGGCCCAATTGATGTCAATTCCAGGCAGCTTATCCGCCAGCGTCACCTGCAGTTCCACGCGGCTCGCCTCACCCGTACCACCGCGGCTTGGCGCCGCCGCTTCGAGGTCGGCGAGGAACTCGACGGCGTCGCCGTGGGCCACGCCGAGCTGGGCGAGGGTCACGGTGGGATGCTTCACACTGCACCACTGCCTTAGCGAGCCGAGCGCCAGAATTCTTGAGCAGAGCGGTGAAGCAATGGCGGTTTCATTTCTGAGGTGTACTGGCAGGTGTCATTTACAAAAGGAGGTATATTTGGGTCTGCCGATTTTTCAGATGAGCCCCAAAAAGTGGTTCTTTTAAGGGAGGGGGTTTCTGGGGTCGGGGGTGGAAGAATTGGCATTCATCAGGTAGCATGGTATACATGGCCTCCACGGACTCCACAGACTGACTCCCACGGACTGGAGGGGAAACCGGGCACCGATGACCCAACGGATTCTCCGTTCGCATTGGTGGCATGAAAGACACACACAAATGGACTGACCAGGCCAGACCGCGAACGGCGGGTGCTCAAATTGATGAGCTAAAAAATCGAATGACGATCATTTGGATTATCATGGAATAGGTCTGCGAAGGCCTATTCATCATTGATCATCATATTCATGGAACGGTTCCATCTAGAACGGCCAATTCATTGGCATGGGCAGGTCATTGATCATCTTTGGATGGAACAAGTATGATATGGAATGGCCTGATTACTCGTCATCTTTGCATCATTGACCTGGAAAATAACATCCTCTTCCTCTATGGTATTACCCGGCAGACACTCCATGGGACTGCCATATATGCCTACATTGACCCCCAATACCATCCCAATGTAGGCATTTATGGCAGTCCCATGGAGTGTCCGGGTTCTGTCCCATTCCCCGTCACATGCAGCTCTTGCCCGAAGACTTCCGGGGAGCTCGGTGGAATCGTGAAGTCTCCCCCCCATGGGAAAATGCCTAGCTCTTCAGTGATTGTCTAGCGCACGCAAGGCTCGTGACAGTGACAGTGACTCCGAAAAAAGAACAAACAATGGAGATCCCGAGACGTCAAGTGGCTGTCCTTTGAAGCGGAAGGCGTACTGACCATGGGACAGTGCTGAGGTCTTGAGGCCGGTCATTCCAACCTCCTCGCCGAAGCTCCAAACGCACTTCTCGGGAGAAGTCCTCTGGATCCGAGTGACGCTCTTGGTGATATCCTGCAGTGTCACTTTCCTGCAGCGTCGCAAACAAGAGGCTTTTGAGCCAAAAATGGCACCATGATGTACCATGGACTGAAAAAAAATAAAATAACAAACAAACAACACCCTTCTCACCTATGCCAAGTGTCACTTCGATGGATCCCGGCGCGCCCGGGCCGGCGCTCGGCACGGCGCCCGGCACGGGCGGTGCGATGGGATCGAAGTCGCCGGAGTACTCCACGAGGTCTCCGCTCTTCGTGACTCCTGCGGGTTGATGAGACGATGTGTCGGAGGTTTTCGCGGTCGGGTCAGCGATGCGGGCGCATCACCGGGGAAGGAGTTGTTGGAAACGAAGGGAGAAAACGATCTTTGAGGAATCCTCGGAAACTTTGAAGACCAACCAAGTAGAAGGCTTCCAATGATTCCATCCAATCTTGTAGACTTATATGAAGTACTCACTTGAAGACTTGAAGCTTGAAGTTCTCATGTGATGTTGTTACCCGAGCCTTCCAACCACGATTTGATAGCCTGAATTTCTGCATAATAGTGAACCACCGCATTGTTTTAATTTGTTCTAAGGAATTATACACTATACAACACCACGTCAACCATTTTTTCATGGTCTTGGAAGGCTACAGTAGGGCGGCTAGGGATGATGTTGTTCCTCAACTGCAGACGGTCTGCAGATGCCTTGGCTCCACATGACATGGGTCGTCTGTCCATGCGCGTCCTGCTTGGGCCAAGGTGAGATTGGGATGCTCATTGCTCTTCCAGCGCTTCCCGCCGAAGGCGAAGATATATCCACAGTTGGAGAGTGTACTGGTCGTCAGCTCGTACATGCCCACATCCCGCCCAAGCTTCCAAACCTCGGAGGTGCTTGATGAGTCAGTGGCTTCAATCATCTCAAGTAAAGCTTGAACAATTATGTAATAATATTATGTCTGAAACCACCACCCAGAAAAGAACAAAAAAACAGAACTTTTCTTCAGAGAAGATCAGGTTAAGAACTTCTCACATCGGGTCAATCGACCGACCTGATCTGTCATTCAACTGGGAGTCTTTTTTCCCCAGTTCAACAAACCAAGTCTGGCAGAAAAAAGATGTCCAAATCCGCTGCCAAAAAAACTGTCTCCACCACCTAAAACACACACTGACACACCTGGTTGTTCCACCAGGAAACCGATTCGTGTAAGGAGCTCTTGCCTGTCCTGGTCTTGCTTTTGCACTTGTCCAGCAGCGTGATTGAGAGCTCGACCACTGCGCCATCGGGATGCATCGTCTGCGGTGAGAATCCGTGCCGGCGCCGGCGCTCTTCGTTGCCCTCCCTTTGAGCCAAGCTGAGCGCCCTATATAGATCATCCCATGGTTAACCATTACACCAAATAATATGTAATTAACCATTAATCATTAACCATTACACTTAAAAATAATTGTTTCCATGGCCTTCAGGCTCTACCTACTTAGGCGATCTCAACATTACACCATTACACTCAATATGTCATCAATATGTCTGGCCGTAGCCCAGACATGTCTAGAACTGCGGACTGCCGAGAGTTCCAGCGGGGTGGTGCTGGTGCTGCCAGGGGGTCTGGCTGTTTCTCGGCCCTGCCAGTCCCGTCGGTCGTGGGACTGACTGGATCCGGACCCTCAAACAGGTTTGCTTCGGGTACCAACCCCTGCTATGGAGGCTTCAACCCCAGAGGGTCCAATGGTCCAAGGATCTGGGTAATTGTCCATCCGAAGATGCCCAAAACCACGTCACTCTCGACGATTGAAACGGAGTGTACTTCAACCACCTGGTGCAACAGGTCCGGGACCTCTATTTATATATACCTTAATTATAAAACATCCTTCTACCAGCCATATCATCCCATATCATCCCGGACCATGTCAGGGATCTGAATCGATTCGGATCTGAGAATCACCATTCGCTCGAATTGGTCCTTTCGCTCGAACGCCCGGACGCCCGAACGCTCCCGAAGGAGTCACCAAAGCGTCCCACCGGAGACCGGGAGTTTCTACTGATCCCCCACCCGTCCGGAACGGTCCGGACGGTCGGTGGAAGTGAAACCGAGTGACTCAGCTGCTGTGACTCCAGTGACGTCTGACGAGGTCGGTCAACCAATGAGGAAACCCCCAAACAGAAACCAACACCGCGGCGGTGTTGAACGAGCAAGGGGGAGGAAGGTTTCTACGAGGGGGTCATGTACCCAACTTCATCCGGATCTGTCCAAGAGAAGCGCTCAGCTTCAACCAGACTACAGTGGTTTGCCAGGTTCGATGGCGGATGGGGGTCCCTACATGGTGTCTGTTACGGATGGGGGTCCTCTTCCAACCACCTACTACTGGGGTAACTAGTGCCATCTACTCTGAAGAATCAGACCTTCCGTCTCCTTCACATCTTTGCGCCTGGAAACCCGACCCAAGCGTTGAACAACATCCTCCCACTGGTTTGATGCGGTTTGAATGTCGAGTCGAGTGTTCTTTCTTAGAAACCTCCATTGGAGGCATTCCCCCCCAAGAAACCTCCAGCCACCTCGCGTTTCACATGAAGCGATCGACTCGAGTGCTGGTGAAGACAAAAAGAAACACGTCGGGCCTGGCCTCACGTCTTCTGTTTTGATGTCCTGACGACATTACGCCCGTTGAGGACTGAAAAAACAGGTACAAATACAACAACAGCACCAGCATTGTACTGTTGAAGGAAGACATTTGGAAAACATATAATGTCCATCACAGCTTTTGGGGGGTCCAGGTTCCTGTTCTTACCGATGACTGACCCATGCTGCGTATTCTCCCATCTGAGAAAGCAATGTACAGTACTCAGTACATGAATCTGCCGGTGTTCCATGAGCCTGTGGCCCCCTAAGACCCACAACTATCATGCGTTTCCCTCATAAGAGGGGTTCCCAAGTTCAAGGTGAGCCAACCAATTCCGATTCAAACAGCTTCTGTGGAAGACAGCTGAGTCTTCAAAACCTTAGCCTTCAATGCCTTCAACATCTTCACCCGACTCGACGTCCAGCCGTTGGTGAGTCCCGTGGGGGGTTGGAATCGTGTGGCGTTGGTCGCCATCCACTGGACCCGGGCCAGGGTGAGTTCGAGTCCCGGTTGGGCTCCGTTTCGGTGTTTCCATGGGCCAGGGTGCGTGGACGGGTGGTTAAGGGGGAGGGGGTCAGTCCCCCGCCGAAGCTGAGGAGATGCGCCGGGCCAGCCCAAAGGGGAGTGTACATCGAAGGTCGGAGAAGGTTCGTACCACGAATCCTCCACCATGCAGCCATGCAGGTGGATCCTGTTCGCCAGGTCGCATGGCCCACACCACACCCCACATGCCCACATGCCCACACCTCTCGACCCATCGTCCCCTCTACCGTTTTCGAACGAACGGTGAAGGACGTCTCGTCCGCGCCTTGCGCCGGCGCTCCACCTCGTGCTCCAGGAAGGTGAAGAGCCGCGTGCGCGTCGGCTCAAAGATCCGCTTCTCCTTGGCGCAGACCAGAGGTTGAAGGACCGACTATCCCATAGGTACCCCAGTAGGGTCCTAGTTCAGGTCACTCAACCTCTCTTGGGAAGGCGCCGTGTTTTCACCCAACGAGCCGCGGAACGACGAGGCGAGGCTGGAACGAGACGGGCGTGAGGAGAAGCGGGTCGTGGTGGACGAACTGGGCGGTGGATGGTGCCGAGGTTTTGGGTGAACGAGGAAGATGCGTGGTCCGGTTTTGGGGGAGAGTAGGTCGGTGGGCGTGTCTGGAAAAGCTGAGGGGTGCCAAGGGTGGTCAAAGACCGATTCCCTTTCGCCGAAACGACCCGGTCAACCTGCCAAGAAATGAGAACCGTTTGCCCAAAAATGGCCAAAAGGGACTGGCCCAACACATTGCTCTGCCCAACACCGCTGCCCTCCGCACCAACAGGATGTAACAGGGCTTTCCCGTTATGGGTCGACTGGTGTGCAGGTCTACTTAGCGGTCTGGTCTGCCAGTGGGGCAGCTCTAGGCCTACTCCCCTTCTGATTCTTTGAGAGGTGGGAAGGATGTGGAAGGAGGTGGCAGAAAAATGGCAGGATGTGGCAGGTTGCAAAGGGAAAAATGAAAAGGACTTTGGACAAAGAGTAGTGGGAAAAGTGTCTTGAAATCATCGATGCTTTCATGGACGGCAGCACCATGCAGCACCTGTCTGGTCCTCCAAGTCTTCGGGGCCGCGCTTGAATGTGCTGAAAGGGAAGCGACTTAGGAACCACATGCTTGCTGAGATATGGTATTAGTTTTCATTCTGTCAATTGTCAATGAGTATGGCACTAAGCCCGGGTGTTTGACGATCATTTCACGACTTAGTCGTCCGTGGCCAAAAACCGTTGGAGATTCTGGACGCCCCTTGTGATGTTGATGTGTCAGTACAAATAGTGCGTGGAGCATCTAATGAATCTAATGCCAGAACGCACGCATGCGGCGCATGGGATCAGTCCATCCGTCTCCCGGCGAGCTTCATTGAGATACTTCCGCAAGAGCCAGAACTGCCTGCGTGAACTTCCATGTAAGGCTTGCAGTTGCCTGAGAGCCAGACGACAGGAACACGACACCCGAGTTGAGGAGCCGCAATGGGATCCGTCGGAAAGAATAAAAAGCAGGAGAACCATGCAATGCCTGCAACTGGTATAGTTCCTTCGAACCGAACCTGGGGAACTGTTCATCTGCTACAGCCAGCGGCGAGGCGAGATGGCCTGTCCGTGGCGCATGGTGCTTTGAGCAGTGTGAGCCAATCAAGACTTGCCCAAGTTGCGAAGGTCGAAAGACTATACTTTGCTCCAGTGAAGCAAAGGAAGTTCCTGAATTCACCTACTTGTTCCTCAGACCAGTCTCTTTACATTCTTTCAAAGCATCTTAAGGTCCAGGTACTAGTCCAGGTTTATTCAGAACCCCACCAGCAGCCTGCAGGAACTCCAAGAAAACCGTTCTTCTGGGAGTTCAGCTGTGAAAATCCGTGGTGAATGGACTCAAGAGATTTGTGACACATCGCAAGAACCCAGCTTCTTTGAGGATGAAGAGAGGCAACGTCTGTGACTCGGTCACGCGGTGATTCCTTTTGGGGGGACCTCAATGAGGGGGAGATTTGCTTCATCAACGGTCAACAGTTGTGGCGAGAAGGATGAATCCTCCAAGACTCGGTTTTCCAATGTGGATAGCCCCACGCATGTGGATCGGATCAATTCCATTGACTCTCCCTACAAGTCCAGTCTGACCAAGTAAAACCTTGTCTTTGACCTCCTTAAGTATCGGTGTTGTATGACCATCTCCAGTAAAATGAGGTCAGCTCCTGACTTGTAGGGTCTGCTCAACACCTTGTGTTTAGCGCCACGGCCACGGCCCTCCAAGGCCAGCGGCGCCCGATGCTCGGTAGGCTGGGTGTGCATCCGAGGGACGCCACGGAATTGGTGACGCTTCCCACGATGGAGGAAAAGCCGATGAGGGCCTCAGGGAGTCCATTTCGGGAAGGAACCATGGAGTCCATGGAGCATCCTGAACTACTCCATGACTTAACTCCTGAACTACTCCACCAGGTCGTCAATTCATCCACATCCATCCACCACTACCAGGCTGGGGTCGTTCATTTTCGTTTTCCCAGACTCTCAGGGCATGACCTGACCATCCATGGGGAGCGTTCTCGTGAAAAATCTTCTGGATTCAACGACTTGAAGAAGAAAAGGTTCGGTCCAAAAACGGGGGTCGTGCGGCACGAGGATGTTGGTTTGGTACCATGTTTTGTCCATATGTAGCTATGCTGCAATACTAATTCATACCCAGGCCCAGGCCGGGGGTGAATGAACACCCAACCTCCAAGGGCCCATGGATTATGGGCCCTGAATTGGAAAACGTCTTGGATTATGTTTGAAGAAGGCTAGGCCCTGCGGCTGTCCAGACGTCCTGAAACAGGCCGACCCACGAGTGAACGGGACGCAGTCCGTCGGTGTCACGCCGCGCTCGGGCTCCGAACGAAGAACACCACCACGATGCTCACGATCCTGGCGGCAGTCGAGTCGGGACTCCAACAACGCTGGTCGAGTCGGACCAATTTGCACCAGTGAACCCCATCATCTTCGCCCCAAAAGGTGATGGCAGTCATCACAAGAAGCTTGGTCAACTGTACCCCCAATCCCGTGTTTAAACAACAAAAACGTTCCAAAACAATGCATCTCCAAGGTCAACAGAAGAAGCAGCCGAATTTATTATATGACATAAATGGAGAAGGAGAACAAACCTCCCGGTCAGGATCACACATCTCTCCAATCAATTTGCAGTCAGTTGCCTGGTGCTTTGTACCAAACGGGCATCACGAGGCCACGCCCGGAAGAAAAACACCGCCCCTTTCATTGGACAGCAGGAAGAAACCTTGCTTCTCCTCAGCTTGGTGCTTCACATCTGTGTATCCCAAGTCGTCCACAAGACCCTTCGCTCCAAGATGGCCATCCGATGGCCGTTTTCCGGTCGACCCGAACCGTTTTCACGGGTTCCTTCCGAACGCGCCCGCAGCGAAGGACTGGCTGGATCCGGAAGACCCTCTCCACCAGCTGCGTCCACCATCGCGGACCGCGGCGTCCACGACGGACGTCCGTGCCTTTCACCCGCACCCGGAGCGCTTTCCGCCCACCCGAAGCACGGTGCCCGGTGCGGACGGTGCCGGTCCGTCCCGAGGTCCGTCCCAAGACGGCCTCTCGGGGACGTTCCGGGCAAAGGAGTCCATGGAGGCGGGGGTGAACCTCGGCAGGAGGGAAGACCAAGAAACCGTCTCTCTACTCTGGGGGAGGAGGACTACTATGTAGACTATAGGCACTGAAACCCAGGTCCGGCTTTTGGGGAGCTCGGGGTACAAATGGTGGCGTTTGGGGAGCTAGGGGTAAGAAAGAAGATGAAAGAAGGATGTTGCAATGGAGGTGCTTGACGTCGTTTCATGTGAGCCTTCTGTTCCTTGCTTTTCACTTTCACAAGAATGGCTCTCCCCTGCTGGCCGGCTGGTGCTGCATGTTGCGCTTGTGAGAGAAGTCTCACTCGAACTGCATGACAACTTCAACAAGAACTGATCAAAATTGGTCCATGTTACCATGCAGCTCATCCTGCCAAGCAGCTGAGTCAAACTCCAGTGCAGAGCTGTGGTGTACTGGTAGACCATGCTCCGTTCAGCAATGCTGGCAGGCGGGAAACCGCCACTCGCGCGGCCACTCGTGCGGAACTGAAATTCGCCACTTTCTGTGGCCCTCAACCTCTGTGGCCCTCTCAAACCCAGACACTCCATGGGACTGCCATACATGCCGATCAGGCCAGGGGTGGATGTTAGCGGTCTGTCTGGGGCGGCAGTCCGGACTGGCAGTCCCAAACAGGTCGTGTCTGGGCTGTCTGTGGGTCAAAACCTCACCATGACGTCCCCATGGGAAGCTTGACGTCTCAAACTTCTCGAAAAAAACCTCTGTGCGGTCGGTCTCCTGGGGGGTTCAAGCGGTGGGTCCCGGTTTGGACAACGCCAGAAGTCCAACGGCTCCACGGGCAGGGAAGATCAAGGGCCCTGGTTGAAGCCGGGCCAGGGCGCATAGCGGGAGGTCCTCAAGCAGGGTGACTCTATTCATAATAGATAGAACCCCTATAGAAGTCCAGTTCGACGATATTTTGACCGACTGAGGTAAATGTCTAGACTTGGGTCACCGTTGGTCAGACCATTCTGTGTATAGTCGACTGGACTCCCAGGGTACATGTAGGGCTCAATGGATGCAGGACTTGAATTACTCGAGTACCGGGTGCTCAGTTGCGTTGGGTGTTGGCCAAACAAACGTGTAACCCATTGTTATGCCAAGATATGTCAAGAGGAGGGCCAAAGAATTGAACATGAAAGTGCATAAATGGCCAAATTGTAGTTGAACCGAAGCCTCACTTTCCAAGAGTCCCTTAGTGCATGTCAACGTTTTTTACACCTTCGTACCGTCGCCAAACCTCCCCTGCAGATTAAGACCTCAAAAACATCTCAAAACCACTGAGTGGCCGGTAGAAAACCATCTTCCAGGGGCCAGAACCTCAGGGTCTCTGTTAGTTTATGTTAGTTTGAGTGTAAACCGACGCATCCGGAATCCGTTCTCCCTCCCAGTCCCTCCAGCCTTGATCCGTCGCCTTCCGAGTGATCCAGCCAGTTCTTTTCACCCTGCTCCCTGGTGACATAGCCTGGCACAGTCAAACCCTCCCGCCCCAAGCGCGCCACATGCCACATGCCACTGGACCACCGAGTCCCGCCGCGGCCTACGCCGTACCAGAGGCATGCGATGACGTGGTTCAGGACGCTGATGAGCGCCGTCAACCTGAGATGACGGCGAAGACCGGCGGGGAGCGACGACCCGCTTGGCCCGACATCACGCAGTTCGCCACGACCAGGAGGTCCGACGGTGTGGGGGGGTCCCATGGAGATGTTGCAGTTTCAGAATCGTGAATAGATCCCAGACGCTCCATGTATGCCATATACCAGCACCCTCCAACAGGTCTCCTCTGGAGGCTTTTGTAGACTTAAAAGTCGCAAGTGGTGACCTGTTGGAGGGTCCTGGTATGCCTACATTGGGCTGGTTTGGGGGTCAATGTAGGCATATATTCCATACATGGAGTGTATGGGGATGTTATTGAAAATCATCGTCGTCTATCTCCGGGGTGCGACCCATCCCTCTGTAGAGGCAGTGAGCAGCGGGGGATGAGTTTAATGATATACTTTTGGTGACCGCAAAAAAGGAAAAACATGGAAAAACCCACCGACCTTTTTGAGTCTAAAGTTATCAGCATGTCGTGCCATCCCTTTGGAGAGTTGTTTTTCCATTGGCATGGAATCTCTTTTGACCTTTTTTTATCTCTTGAAGCCTCTTAGGCAGACACTGTTCAGGCACACACCTCAAGCTGGCCCTGGCCCCCTGAAGCTGAGGCATCCTCATCCGACTCAGTTCCTCACTTCAAGAGGGTGAAGAGGATGAAGACATACTCGCTGTCCAAGATATCATACACCTACCAAATGCAGGCGCTCCCTACCAGAATTCCTATAGCCTATACCTGGGAGTCCAGTCAACTACAAAAAGAATGGTCTTTGGGTGCCTGATGTTGGGAACTGTCCTTTAATTCACTATGGAAAAGTATAGTCTTTGAACTTCCAGGGCATTACATTTTATTGGACGTTCCCACCAATAAAACTCAATAGGCTGGACTAGTAAACCCTTCTAGATGGCGAACTCACAGGGTCACTGGACGTGCTCAGGTGTCTCCTGCTTGGAGACGGTTGTCCGGTCTCACTCATAAATGAGATCACCGCCTACCAAATCCTACAAATCACCATGGCCGATCCGGTTCATGATAATTGCAGATCCCCTACGGACCGAACCATCTCTTGTACTGAAACTGGACTCTCTCTCTCTCACACAAACTGACCGCACGTGCCCCCATGCGTGCGAACTGCCCCCCCGTGGCACCGATGAAACGGAGGACGCGACGTGACGTGGCGAACCGCCAAGTGGTCGTCCAAGTGGTGGCCACTTGGGAGGCACAAGTGTCCCCATCCTCCTGGTGAAAACCGAGGAGATGTCGTCTACTCTTTGCCAAGCTAGCCCATTCTATATCCGAGGATGTCAGACGTTCATCTGTTGACTTTTTCTTTCCATTAAGTGTCCAATAGTTCAGTTTCGTTCGGGGTCTGTCTTCATTGTCTTTGAGGTCTCCGCCACAAGGCGATCAAAAAGACCACGTGTACTCAAGCGCGTTTTTCCTAGCTACCGCACGCACACACCGCGCACCATCCCACATGTGACATCACACAGTCCTGCTCCTCATGCCGTAAAGGTTTCACAACTCCAATCCATCACCCGAAGGCTCATTCCTTCTGGACCCGCAGAAAGGCTCAAATTGGATCCTTATATAACTTATAGGGTCATTTTGACCCTCATAACTATAGGGTTTTGGACCGAAGCAACATGTAACAGTGTCAAAAGTCCGTGAGCCTCCGGGCAGAAAAGAAAAACACACGCGGCCAAACCCTTCCAATGGCCTTTCATCGCGGCCGAAAAACTCTGCGCCCTTTCATCATGCGCCCGACATCGGCGCGCGCGCGGACCATCGGACGCGATCCCGGAGCGCGGACGGCCGCGCCAGGTTCATCAAGCGTTGCACTTTCAAGAGTCGCAGGAGCCGCACCCTGAGGGCCGAACGTGGGGTGCTGGACCGGTTCGGTGCGAGCCATGGAGGGGGGGTGGGGGTCAAGACTCGTGGCAAAAGACCTATCCTTTAGGGCTCCGAACGCCCGGCCCGGCTCGGCGATCGATCTGGTTGGGGTGGGAGATGTGGGGGACGACGAACGTCCTTTTCCTGGCCTCAACCGAACCCAAACGATGGTCAGCCAGGAGCCCGCCCTGAGCCCTGTACACCATGGTACACCTAATTGGCTTGTACACGACTGGGGGGCCGCTCCTTCAGTCTGACTGAGTCTGACTGTCGTATTTGAGCTCAACAAGAGGGGAAACATCGACCCAAAGCCCATTGGGTCGGTCGACGTCCGTAGGTTCAAGTCGCTTTCCATGTACGTCCGATGGGGGCGGGATTCGTACCCGTGTCGAAATCATCACAGCCTAAGGTTGAGGGGGAGACTCCCCTATTTGGAGAAACACCCAGAATATACCTCCCTAGGGCTCCAACCATATCCTCAGAAGGTGGTTAGACCCCCCAAACCCACCCCAACCATCTTCTCCAGGAGGTGGTTGGAGCCCTAGGGCCTGTTCCCAGTTCCCAGAACTCACACGAGCGAAAAGGGATCGAGTGGACCCCAAAGGGGTCGAGTCCATGGCAAGAACAACGGAGTCGAGGGTTATGGAATTGGGCTCAGCTTCACCATGCTTCATCCCATTTGGCTGCGGAGAAAGCCCAACTGGTGGTGAGACTCCAAATGTGCTGAGTTGGCGGACTCAACCATTTAAGGACCACCGGAGAGAGAACGGGCCGCCGGCCGCTGGTGGTCACCTTCGGTCTCCGGACACTCGGAGGACTCGGATGCTGCGCAGGGCGTTGGCCACTTCTTCATAATCTCCTGGCGAGGACGGAGGACGCGACGCGGAACAACGCGAGCCAGCACTGGCGAGGCCGGAGGAGGGCGCCTCCAAGAAAAGGAACCTGCAAAATAAAGGGGCCTATAGGCCTATAGGCCTTGGAGATTCGAGAATTGCCGTTGCTTCGAGTGTTTGGCATGTCTTGGCTGATGGGTTTCCAGAATGTTCCAGATTGAGTGCCGTGACCCGTGTTCAATCACCCAATACGGTGATAGCGCAAAACTGGACATGTGAAAGTTCCAAGTTGGACATCTCCGTGAAAGCTCATCGACGTGACGTGCCGTTTTTCCCGCTCCTTCTTGCAAGCTGTTGTTTTGAATGTCGTTCGTCGCCGGATCACCTGCGCTGTCTTCGGAATCTGCGACTCCAGCGATGCAGAAACGAAGGTTCACTAGGTCCACTCCCCAATTTTCAGCGGGTGTGGGATCCACCACTGTGGAAACCACAGGATTCCACTTCTCCGGCATGATGCACCATCTTTCCATCCCAGATCCATCCAAAATCCACAAAACATCCATCCAACTCGCGGGAAGGGGTGCCAAACGCCCTGTGATCACGCTGGACCCGGAGCGCCTCCGGTGCCCCACAGTCGAAGGAACCTGAGCAGGAGCAAAGGCCAGACCCGGTGCAACAGGCAGTGAACATGGATTCCAACCAGCACGAGGCTCGGAAAGTGGTTATTGGAGAAAACACAATTTACTTGATATAAGTTTATTAATAAGTGATAGTAAGATGTTTATTGAATGGTTGTGATTCTGAGTGGTTGGTGTTGTTTCTTAGTACTTCCACGGGTCTGATGCCATCCACGGGTCTGATGGAAAAACCCATGGAAGCGCCAGTTGCATTTTGCACCCAAAGCCCGGAGCCACCCACCCAGAGCCCGAAACCACAGACGGTTGACCGGTCTAGTCTCAATTCTATGAGGTAAGGTGGTCAAGTGGTCAACCCGGACCTCACACATCCCCACACTTAATATAACCCAGACACTCCATGGGACTGCCATATATGCCTACATTGACCCCCAAAACCACCCCAATGTAGGCATATATGGCAGTCCCATGGAGTGTCTGGGTAATGCAATAGTATTGCAGCTTTACATGGCAAGCATGCTAGCAAGCATGCCAAGAAGTTGGACCCTCGTTCATGCCGCCAGGCCCCACATCGCATGAGCATGACATGAAAGAGAAGCTGCTTTTTCTCCTAGGCAATACTCTCAGGTTGAGTCTGAGATGACCCTGGATGTTTCTCAACAGGGTGTTATTCTTGCCCCGTGGCCTACATGATCTCTGCCAAGAAGGCGTTGGAAACAACATAGTGCCCATATATTGCAGGTCGGCACAAACTCTTCGGGTGGGTCCCCAATCGATTCCAAGTCAACCATCTGAACGAATGGATGGGTATCATTCTGATTCCTGTACACGTATCATGGCCCCTGAAGTGGCCAGGTTCTCATCCCCTTTCTGGAGGTGGCCCTCAAGGCCTCTGCCGGCTCCTGGGCTCCTAGAGATTGTCATCAAGTAAATGGAATCCAGAATCTTCATCATTGAGTCAATGCCTCAGATTCTTCCATCCACCGACCATTCGGATTGTCCGATTTCCTCCTTTGTCCTCGATCCTTCCTGAGTGCCAAAGACCCCTGAACTGAGCCACCAGGCCAATCAGGCCCCAACACAATGAGGTCAATGAAGAACCACGTCCTCAAGGAGCGTTGAGGTGTGTCATAGCATTCTGAGCATGATCACTAGCATGATCTTTGTTCAAGGAAAACAAGCCAACTGCGGTTCTTCGTCAACCAGTCTTTATGATGTCTTTTAAACAGAAATCATCACCTTTCTTGGGGCTGTGCCACACTGAATCATGCTTTTGGGAGGGTTCCCCCATTCATAAATTGAAGAGATCACAAAAACACACAATATAAGATGTATAGATATTATGCTCTGTTCTACCGTCTGACTGATTCCAAGAAGGACTATCCATGCAATTGTTGGAGCCAAACGCATCTTAAAGACTAGAACAATGGCAATGGTTGGATGATTTCTCATCATGATCTCATTAGCTTTACACAATTCATCGAACATCAGTGAAGCACCTTCATGGCAAAAAAGAACACCGAGGTTAAGACACTAGCGAGGCGAGACATCTCAGCAACCCCTTCGAAAAAGAAGATCCAGAAATCGAGCCAGTCCTCAAATATCTGCAAATGATGCGCTTCTGGTTCATCACCAACTCCTGGCGTTGCCGCCCTTTTTTGTGTCCGCAAACAGGCACCTTGAAACTGGAACCTCCTAGAACCGCTGTAAAGCCCTGCACTGTTGTCAGTCAAGTGGTCTTCCGCTTCTAAGCCGTTGCGTTGCGAAAAGAAACGTCTGGCAACCACTTACTCAGATCCAATTGTCCCGTGCAAAGACGGATTGTCCAACTGATGTTCAAACTTTCTCGGTGGAAGAACCGCAAGCAGTTCGGTGCTTGATGCAAGCAGTTAAGATTCTGACTGACATGCAGGTGAGCTTCTCATGTTTTCCAGCGATCATGAAGGGTTGGGGCACAATCAGTATGTGAGGAACAATCACTTGAGAAGCCGCATGGATCGAGCTCGCATGTGCTCGAACAGACTGTCGCACGCGCATGTCGCAGGTCGAAGACACCCCTTCTTCATAGAAGCCCACCAGATTGCCTGCGACGGCGTCGACGGAACCTTCTTGGGCTTGTTCTATCTGAAGAGTTGGGGGAGAAACATTGCGACACCCTGCAAATGTAGTTACAATGTAGTTTAATTGATTCTCACATGACTGTGTCTTACTTTTCATTGACCATTCACTGTGGGGGGGAGCAGATCAACTACTAAATCGAGGTACTGAAGGTCCGAGGATGCGGGACCCAGCAACCTGGTTCTCAAATCTTTGTTCAGTACCGCAGGCTATGATTACTTGGACCAACCAAAGCTCCAGCGCTTGTGACTGGTGCAACAATGCCGGCAAAAACCGCACAAAATCTAGATGGGTGGCTTGTCCAACTGGCACCAACGGCTTTTGCCGCAGTGGCATTCTGCTACAGCTTCAACAAAATGAGTATGCAAACCCTCTTTAGCAGCTCCTGCTTCTGCGACAGCTTGAAACAACCCTATCTTGCCATTCCAACCCCTTTTGACAGGCTCCCTTCACCTCCGCCTTTCACTGCGCCAAAACCCACCCACCACGTCCGATGTCTCGCGTCCCTCTCTCTATACGGGCTTCCCGACTCATGAGGACGTCGCAGGTCCAGTAGAGCAGCACGATCCAGCCCATGACCATCGTGAACTCAGCTCCATCGACTTGGGTCGACTCTCGGGTCGCGACTGGTTGCGTCGACTGGTTGGGTCGACGAGTGGGTTTGGAGGGCTCTCCGGCCACGACTGGCAGTCCTTCACCAACACAGCCGTAGACACGCACATGGCGATGGTTGGTCGGGACGATGGGCCGGGGGGGCCGGGTGGTACAAAGCGAAGCATACGTTGTCTTGCTTTTGGTCTTGAACCAGGAGTTCCATGTCCGGTGCGATCGATGGAGGGTAGGGGTGAACAGGGCTGCATCCACTGATGGACTTTCCACACCACCCAGGCCCTCCATGTAACTCCCAGGGACTACCCAAACCAATTAAATGCTTAACATCTTTAGAATATAGCCCTACAGGTCCAGTCTGACCCTGGCCCAGTTCTCCAGAGTCGTGTTTTGAAAACGACCCAGCTTCAGTAGCAGCTCTGCTCCTGACCTGTAGGGGATGGTTTCTCGGATTGCTTCGTGGATGCCTCCAAGCTACTAGCAGCTAGCTCATTGGAGTTCATTGAGTTTCATGGATCTCCCCCAGTCTGACGCCACATGCCATTGATGAAGCACCGAGAAGACCGATCCAGCATGACTGGTGTTGGAACCGACGAGTTCCCGCGCGCGCTCTGTGCGCGGGTGAGCGACACATCCCAGACGCGACCCGTCTGGGACTGCCAGTCCGGACTGCCGATCAGTTGGGCTGGTTTGGGGGTCGATGGGGCGGCATATCTTCCAGTCCCATGGAGTGTATGGGCATGGGAAACAAGATATGGATCCCGAGGTGTGGCAGTGGATCCCTAGGGCTGGCAGCTCAAAGAGAGCTCAACGAGCTGGGCTAGTTCTTCAGGATGCCACCCTTGAAATCCATGCGAAGTCTCTTGGGGCACTTGGAAAATCCCATGAAATCCACCTATAGACCTTCTTTCGGGGTGTCCTGGCTGGAGGTCCCGGATGGTAGTGGGCTGGGGCTTCCAGCCAAGTGACCCCGAACTGAAGGTGCTGGCATGTGTTTAGAACTTGCAAGCATTGAAATCGCTTGGATCTTCGCCAAGTCCGGAATTCTCACCCCTCGCGAGGGAAGCGAGTGTCTTCTTCACGGCTTCACTCACCGCTTTCAGCTGGCTCTGATCCCTGATCCCTGGAGTTGTTGAAGTGCTTGGGATGCGCAAAAACAAGGTCTAACCCTGGCAACGGGGTGGGTGAACTTGCTGTAGCTCCTTAGCTCCCGCCTGAGCACCAGATAGAACCTGCTGAGACTGCGATAAATTAAATGCAAAAAAAAACGCGCGTCTTTTTCCCTCAGCAGTGTGCCTTGGATGTTGCTCTTGCACTCAGCGAAGGAACAGCAGCCAAAGAAAGTTGCAAAAAATACGCTTGAGATTTGGAAACGAGTGTTGAACGACCAAGGAGAGTCTCGAAAATACATGGACGTGACATCATATTGGATGTGAATCCTAGTGCATCTCCGTTCCTGTCTTTACACCTGGAACGATCTACAAGTCTGCCGATGCACCATGTCTGAAGACTGGGCCCGTGTCAAAAAGGAGGCCTCGAGCCTACGAAAAGAGACGGGAAAAGGAGGCCTCTTCGCATGCCGAAAATCAGAAGACGACGGACGGTCTGCCGTTCATCTCACCATGTACAGTTTTGCACCCATCGGTCACAGCTCTGCATGACTCTATGGTTTTCCCAAATATGAAGTGGAAATCACTAGGAGCTTCGTCATCTTGGTGTGGCTGACCCACTCAAAGACCACTGCTGCATTGGGGTGCATGGCATGTGAAGCTCTCCAATGGTCTCATCTAATTTGGTGAAATCGCCGTGTGGAACGGTCATTCTGAAGGCCATTGTTGATACAGACATCGGCCAGAAACGGATGTATTCACCAGTCACCCAGTGGGGTAGATGAAGTACGATCAAATCAGGCGTCATGGGTATGTCTAGCGGAGTTTAGCTATCATCAATCACTTATATATATCAAATTAATCATACCAGGACCCTCTAAGGGGTACCCAATGGAAGCCTATAGGTAGTGTGGAGTAGTCCAGCCAGGACACCCCGACAGGAGGGTCCTGGTATAATTTATATAATCAGATCACCAAATCACTTATCACCAGAGGTTGGACAGTTCGATCATCAAATCACTTCTCGACGCCAGAGGACAGATGTGATGGGACCGCGATCGGACTGCCGCGTGTGACGCTTCAACGAAGCCAAATGCTTTGCGCTGACTCGGGATGAAAGGAGGTGAAACAAACCAACAAAAACCTTTAGGATCTAAGGATGGCGTGCCATTCTGATCCTTCTCTATAATGTCTATATTGCAAGAACCATCCAACAAACCTATGTCCGGTCTTAACACCAAACCGCCGGGGCTCGAGTTTCTCCAAGCGACCTAGTCGTTGTCATGACCATTCCAAGGGACGCCGCACAAACTCGCGTCAACGAGCCCAAAAAAACGACATGCGCAGCAAAATTCCGTCACTACGGATCTTCTCAGTCGGCCCCTTGCCTGCTGCCTGCAGATCGGGCAAAATGCAGATCGGCGTGTTTGGGTGGCCAAACGAAGGTCTTCCGTTTGGGCGACATGGCAAAAAGGCTGCCGAAGGAAGGGAGTCCCAGTCGATTTGTCGGATGTGCATCGGTTCAAGATGTAAATGCATGTGTCGGATGTGGTTGGTTGATCTTATTTTTGAATATTTTTGACATGTCCCAACTGATCCAAGTAGCAAGGTCTTGGATTCAACAAGCCTTCAAACGTGACCATGGATACTAATGGGAATCCAAATCATCCATGTTAGAAGCGAAACCAGGGGCATGAGGGAAGCGAAGGACGCTGCCCGCACGAAACCAGACCAAGCACGACGTGGCGTTGATCAATAGATACCTGAGGATTGACTCAGAATTGATGAATAGAGCATCTCCAGAGGTTGAAGGACCTATAGACTAGTCCCAGTTGGGTACTCCAGGTGACGAGTCTTCTAAGGTCATTGAACCTCTCTTGGCTGATCAGGTTCCAAGACAAATGTCCTAAGATCCCATGCTCCAAGCACTGCGAAGATGCGAAGGAGCACATCAAAACGGACGGTTGACCAGGACCTTCATCTGGGCGACGAACCTCGGAATTCGTCCAAGAAGACCTGGAATCATCCCGCCCAACACGTACTGACTTGGAATGACTTGGAGAAACCTCATCTCCAATTCAAGGACATATGCCATCCGGCTTTCAGTGCTTTTCAGCAGGGTCACTCATGTTCATGTTGGTCCAAGTAAAAGCTATACACCATGGAAGAGACGTGATGAGACACCCTGGAAGAGAGACTTGCCACTGGTTTATCATTCAGAAACCATGTTAACGCAACTGACATCAAGACGATGCCCATGCCCGCATTTGTATACGGAAGAAACTGTTGAATTTGAATGGATCAAATCCACAACCCGCAGGAACACAACTGACAAACCCACACAAACCCACTTCAGCACACGTGCGTCCTTTCAGCGCTGCTCAACGATCGCTTCAACCTGCCCGATGAATGGCTGCTGCACAGGTTGCGACCTGGGGCGAGGCGGGGTCTGTGGGGTTTGACCTACCAGTCGGGGGTGACCAAGAGAGGGGAGGATTAAGTGACCTAACACTACTGACTGGTGCGACTCGCAGGGAATGAGGGAATGGATCCAATAGAATCTCTATTGGGGGCGAAACTTCCCTTATTCCCTACTAAGCACCAGTCAGACTAGGACCTAACTGGCGTACCCAACTGGGATAGTCTATATATATATAGGGTTCTTCGGACCTAACTGGCATACCCAACTGGGATAGTCGATATATAGGGTTCTGAAGAACCTCTGGGAATTCACGCACCACAACCTGTGACCAAAAGGAAGGTCTTCAAATACGCCCCTCCGGCGTGAGACCGAACCACCGACGCAGTCATCGACCAGGAGGCCAACCCACGCATCCACCCCATTGGGCGAGCTTTCGGGGGGGTCACCATGTCAGTCAACGCCACGTAAACGCCTTGAACCCGAAAACCTCGGCGTAAACCGACGTGATTTGACCGGAAACAAAAAAAGCATCATCACTTAGCATCATCATCAAACGCATCAAAACCCAGAGAAGACCCACTTATTCGATCGGAGAATCGGAAGTGTCGGACCGCAAGCGACCATTGGCGACATCTGGCGACCAATTTTTGGACACCCTCGATACTGGGATGAAACATGATGAAACTCCATTCTGAACTCTAGCCCTCAGGTACCAGCGATGAGCCTCTTCCACGCCTGAGTAATGCACAAACCATGGTTCTTTCCAATGCGCCGACGCTTCTTCCCAGCGATGGCTGCCGAGTGGCCGCCAGCAGCATGGCCACAATGACCATGCAAAGAATTCGACGCACGCTCATCTGGTTGCGCTGCGTGACACGTAGCTCTCGTGCTGCGCCATCTGCAGATGGGCAGATGGCACGGCACATGCTGAACGTCACCGCACTCAACGGCACTGCCGTTGTGTTAATCGTTCAAACACACAGCAGAACCAACAAAGGTTGAAGGACCCTATAGGCCCTATAGACTAATGATGACTAAATGCCATAGGTACCCCAGGTTACAGATCCTATTTGCAGTCACTAGTCCACCTCTCTTCTAGTCTAGTCCACCTCCACGAACAGGCTGGTTTCTTTACGGGTCTGTGCTTGGTTCGTTCGGCATCAAACACCAGCGGGTCGGTCGAACCAAACACCAGCAGTGGCACAACGTTGTTTGGTTCTGCCTTCGGGGGCACCAACAGAGTTCTCGAACTCCTGCGTCGCTGCGTGGACCATTCCTGGTCCCTCTCTGGTAGACTGGAGACAAGGCATTCGGCCCCTGGTCCCTCACTGGTAGACTGCTTCGGCCAGCATGTTCACTGCGAGACACTGGTAGACAAGGTCGGTCGGCACCGTCACAGGTCTCGCGTTGGGTCCCACACCTGTGCTCGCACTCGCTTGCTCCATGCC